ATAATCCTGATTCAATTTCCAAACCGGGAAATAACTGTATACTGCACAATAATTAATTTGGCTTTTGTTTGATGAACATTCATTTATTCCAGGCCTTCCTTACCCCAGGAATATAGGAAATCGTTTCCGATCATTTAGTATATCTATCCTCTTTCTGACGCGTTTCGGCTTTTCGCCATCTTCAACAAAACAGTGAGGACAGTAAGAGAAAACTATTGATTAAATGAAGAATTATCAAGAAACTCAACAATTATTTAAGGTTTTTAGTTGAGATGAAAAAAAATGGGGTTGAGATGGGGAGTTGATGTCCGAGTGGATCGAGGTCACGATAGCTCAGGTGGTAGAGCAGCGGCATATCTAGCCGAAGGTCGTGGGTTCGAATCCCTCTCGTGCCGTTAACTTTTTTTCATCTCAACTAAAAACCTTAAATAATTGTAATGTTTAATTGGTCAAGCGGACCACGAAATTAGTGAATTTAAACTCAACAATTTTATTTTGACACAGACACAGCACTGAAGTTGACACAGTCTTTGTGAAAAATTGGTCATTGCTACCTCCTTGCAAATAAAACTGCGCGGGCGGTTCGTCAATAATAATAATACTTTATTGCAAAAAAGAAAAGTTCTAAACATTACATAGTATATAATTTAAAGTAAAATTACGGCATGGAGGGTCCGTCTGCCGGAGGTCGATTTTCATTTGACTTAAATTTTTGGTCGACAAAGAGAAAAATGTACAAAAGAAAAAAATTTTAAAAAAATTGATCCATAAATAAATATTACAATTGATAATTTAATTGTTAATAATTACATTAATTACTAGCATACATTATAAACAATAATTTTTGTTCTTCGTTTAATTTACAATAATATATATAAATTATTTGGGCCAGCAATTTAGAATGACAAGGCTTTAAAATATTCAAAAATTAAAATCTAATATTAACTCTTGGCGATAGTGCCAGGCGTGGCGCGCATATTTGATTAAATTTTTGTAATCATTAACCAGTAAGTCAATAGCCTGTGTCATATTCAATTTAGAAAAATTTAGATGCAGAAGCCGAATCTCCGATAGGATAGTGCATTTTGCAATAAAATGCACTATGTCTTCTTTAACCTGGTGATTGCATAATGAACAAATTACATTTTCTCTAGCCCGAAATGCTGCACCATTGAGATAAAGGAGGTCCCCTCTGATTTTGAGTAACCACCTTAACTCGACCAATGACAAACCTTTAGACCTGTCCTTAGATAGGTTAAACATATTAAAATCATCTTGGTAAAGTTCCTTATAGAATAAAAAGCGCGAGGTTGATCTGACTTGTTCACGAAGTTCTTCACTGAAATTGACACTCAGTTTTGTTATAATTTTCTTAAACTGCAAAGGCCACTCATTCAAGTTATTTATAGAAAATGATGAGTCACATGATAGATCCCTACACATGCTATTCCAACATTCAAACCACAATGCACCACGACTAACGACTTCCAGGGCTATTATTTTGGAAAGACGGTAATCAGGATGTTTCAAGAGTTTAAAGATGTAATTAAAATGAAGTTTGAAGTTTAGTTTGGTGTTTTGAAGTTTCGGGGTTCGTCAATAATTCTCCCTTGTTTTGTCGAACAGACTCATTTAGGGATTTCGCCATCTTTAGTGATTGGCCTGCGTTATAAGCAAAGTGAGGCAAGGGTCTGAGTGTGTAGACCCTAAATATATTTTGCTGTAAGAAGATAATCTATCGTAAAGTTGAAAACGAATTATGGTTTATTTGTTAAACATTGAGACGTTCCTTTACCTTGATCAATTCCGATCAAATCCTCGCTGGATTTTCAGCACATCGCTCTAATGTGTGCAATGTACACTAGAGTTAATGGATTGGTTGGATGGATTAACGTACAAACATTGGTCTGTCGAACTAGATTAGTGATCGTAGTAAATAATTTTGGTATAAAATGAATGAGAAACTGGCATAATATCAAATATCCCTGAGGCTACCCTGGCACTGTACATTTGGTTGTCGACTGTATTGGCGTCAATTTTCTGACATCTCGTCAGGCTCACAAACATAGATTTATTCTTGTAAGTAAAGTAATTTCTGTCATATATGAATCATCACACGTTTGGTGCTGACGGATGAATCAAATTGCAAAGCTGTTTTCCAAATTATTCTCAGAGAAAATTCTGAGGGCTATACCAGGATTCGAACTCAGAACCGCTTGTGTGGCGAAATAATACGAGTAGGCCGACCCAGCAACTCGGTCAACGCGATCATTTTTAGAATGATTGTGGCGAATGGGTACGGAATTAGAGTAAGAACTACTAAATTCGGACGTATAAACCAAATGAGGATAAGTAAAGAAGGACAAGAATTTTTGATTTTTGCAAATTAACCTCCAAATCCAGAAGTTCGCAGTTGTCGCCCAAAGAATCACTGATCAACTGTAATCCAGCAGGGCAGTCATCATGTAGCATAATGCAGATGGCGTAGATAATGCGCGCACATTATGTCACCTACTGTAGCCGATTTTCTCCATTAAGTCATTCAGGGACAAAGAGAAGAGTACCGGAGACAAAAGGTAGCCTTGCTAGTCCACCACATTTAGTGTAGAAAATTTCTCACAAACCAGAGAAACCTATCTCTGTTATAATTACCCAGTTGGTCAGATAAATAAGTTGAAGCAGTCTCAGACGGAAACAACAGGAAGTTTCCCACGAACCTGGAAAATATAAAGTTGCAATAGTTAGACAACCGACCAAATAAATAACTAATATCGAGTTATTTAGTGCTGAAAGGTTGATACAAGGCCAAAAATATAGAAGCGACGTGGGACATCATAATCGGGATCGCGTCAAACAGGTGCGCGACACCCGTCTTCGCCGGTCCCTGGAGGAACTCCCCTGACTTTTGATTTTCCTTTCCACCCCTACACCAGGAGAGAAATTGGTACAAATAGGAATGATTTAGTCAAAAGTCAGTCTCGATCAATGGCCAACCCAGTGAGTCTAGACCAAGGGAGCAAACCATTCAGTCAAAGACAGTGAACTGTCGTCTCCAGGTGTCAATCCGGGGACTCAACAAGGGGACTCAGCCAGCCAAAGCCGAGGAGGACTAGCCGTTGCGACTTCTCAGATCAAGTAGACCGTCGAGATACCGGAATGACGCTGGAGATTCTATGGACGCTGATCATGGCGAGCGTCGTTTGGGGTAAATCCCTTTGTTAATAGACTCATCCCAGATTTAGAGTTATGGCTCACCTCTTAGATTAATTAAGATTTTGTTGTGGTTGTATACATTTAAAAAGCGGAATTGTGTTCAAATAAATGTTGGAAAATATACTCTCCGGTTTAATAAATTCCTTGCCCTACACAAAAATAAGTAGCGAGGCGCTTATGCCGTCTACTCTCATCGCATAGAGAAAAAAACCGAATTTAGAGGGATCGTTCGGCCGTCGCGCTGTCTCGCCCGCTTACAACTTACTTGTTTAAAAGTATAAATTCGTATATTTTTATTATTGTTATTTGCTATTAAATTTTTATAAACTGCCTCAAATAGAAGCTGATGTACAAAATTTCCTTCTGTTTCGTTTTTTTTTCTCTATTCAAATAAACTTCCTAGTGTATTTTACATTCGAAGAAGGCTTCTGTAGGATAACAACGTCTCCGTCGAATAGCAACAAAAGCCCGTACACGATGGCATTACGAACGATCCATGTAAATGACGAGACGATAGAAACGTCCGAAGTGACGACGTTGGTAATGTAAATCCATAACAAAGGGGTCGGAACATCCTAAATGTCGTAAGGGTGTGCCCAAGGGTAGTAGAGGCTTCCTCCCGGCCGGTTGGAAGGGCAGAAGGGCTTCCTCCGGAACTAAGCGATGGACCTTTGTGTATGTCAACTAGAGGACTTACTAAATAATGCCGACGGCCGGATGCGCCTAACGTCCGAGACGGTTTTATGGAAATGTTTCGATAGTGTAAATAACAAGAAGAGTATTACACCATTCGAGGAGCGGGAAAGAATCGCACAACAAAAATAATAAATTATCAATTTTCTTCCTTCTCAGCAAATCAACAAAGCAGGGGGCTGAAATGACGAAATGACCTCTTTATCAAACTGCTGTCGATTGCTGCACAATGCAGCCACAATTTGAAATGGGAAATTACTTTTAACTTTCCCTCCATAGTGATATTTTTCTGAATGTTGATCTTAGATTCATTACTTTTCGTGGTCCGCTTGACCAATTATTGACGAATGTTGATCTTAGAGTTATCATTATTTATACTCCATTTATATTTTAGTGGTCAATTGATCAAGTTACTTCTTTCAATTATTTTTTTTATGTATGGTCTTGGTTAAGATATTTTATTCTACTGTCTACAGCTTGCAAGACAGCTGAAAGACTTCAGGTATAAAGCTATGAAATAAGAAAGCAGGATTAATTTCCAGGCTGTGACGTGGATATGCTACAACCTGAATATGCCGTCCGGTTAATTAAACCAAAACAAAAAAGGTTTTCAAATAGGAGGAATTATCAAATTATTACATCTACCAGATCTGTCTTCGGTCAGGTAGCATTGTTGTTAATTGTAAAAAAAAAATATGGCATAAGCAAAATGCGTGCTTGTCAATTTTTTTTATTTTCATACGGTTTGCACTTCAAAATCAAACACTCTAAAGGCAATGTAGAACTAAAGCGTTTCGAAATGAAAATTATTATTTGTCTACACATCACTTTTTCGTATATGGTTTCAATAAGATTATTACTATCACTCTCCCAATTGATTTTTTGTTTGTTAATGTCCACTTCAATTACGTTTTTAGTAAGATTTTGATTTTTAGAAAGTGAAGTGGTTTTTATACGAGACAGAAATCGCTTTGAGGTTATCGTTCGACGTCTATAAACAAATAAAGCAAAACTGTTTAATTAAAATCGAAAGGTTTTCAAGTGGCCACTTTCTGCAATCGTTATTTAATTTCCTTTGATAAATTCTGATTATAAAAGAAAATCTGGCCGTGGTTGCAGTCACATTAAAAATGAAATACACATTGTTCGCTGTTTTGGCCCTGGTTGCTGCCTCCAGTGGGGCCTACCTCCCCGAGGACGATGACAGTAATATTTTTCAATTTATATTTATTAACGTTGTCAAAATTAATACATTTGCATTCTAGGCGTCTATTTTGTTAGAAACATACTCGACAACCTCGTCAGACAGTCTTTTGAATATTTTAGAAAACTCTTGAAGGAAAATGATCCATACCCGCTTCCCGACGTGTCAGAATTGCACGTCCAAGATCAAGGAGTCGAGTTAGTATTTATTTCTACTCTTAATTTTTATATCTCATAATTTAATTTATTTTAGTATAACGAATGATATATTACTATTATACCCGGTGTCTCGTATTTCAATGAAACACCCACATTTCTCAAAGACGGAGAGTTATAAAAAAAAGTTTTGTAGTTTTTATAGCTTGTCCAACGGAAATGTTTAGACCACTTATTTTAGATCCGTTGGACAAGCTATAAAAACTATATACTTTTTATATTATTATAAATTATTATTTTAATAGTATATTTATTATAATTACCATTTTTATTATATTATAATATTATATTAAGTATTTATTATTATTATGTTATTATAACTCAATTTTATTTTTTCAAATAAAAAAGAGAGAGACTTACTAATTTTTGATATATTTTCAAAAACTAAATTTTTTAATATGAAAAAATTACATCAACAAAATTTAGATTGTTGTTCATTTCCAGAGCTATTTCATGCAAAGACGTGTGTTATTTTATATTTTTAATGTTGTTCTAAGGACTAATTTTACTCAATTTTTTTTACTTTGACTGCTGATCAATTTGGCCTCCGACGGCTCGGCTGCCAAACTGCCATTGTTCGTTTGGTAGATCAGCAATTGACCTGGGACGAATGTAGGCAGGCTTCGACTTGGTTCATTATGGTCTTAGTCGTATGTGAGAAGAGTAATTATTACTGAAGACCCGATTATGAGATATTTCCACAAATTAAAAAGCGGGGTTAAATAAAACGAGCTGGCCAAGAAATAGGGCCACTGTACCTAATCAATTTTTCAGGAAAGAAAGGATCAAGTAAACGTGTAAAAATTGTGCTATTGTGGGCCGAGCGTACAGTTGAAACCACATCCAACGTGTCTGCATTGATACCTCCTCCAATAATCCTGGTAATTCGTTGACGAAAAAATTTTGATAAAATTATCCTGACAAGTCATTTTGGTAGAAGTCAGTAGACGTTAAGACCGATTAATTTATTTCAAATTCAGCCAAACCGAATATTAATTGAACATACATTTTAATGATGAGCTTCATATACCATCCGAGGATTGTTCACTGCTCAGATTCGAAATTTCCCATTATCGGTAATTTTGCATGCAAAATGCACGGGAGAAATCTTATATGGTTCTACTCCATAAGTTTGTACATTATTATCTTTGAAAATACTCGGTACATCAGCTCTTTTCTTAAAGATGAATTAGGGTTTTCTTTCACAAAAATCAAAACAGCTAATTCTGTATCAAATTTACGTCTTATTTTTTTATTCGTATTGGGATATCTCAAAGTATTATAATTCTAATATACAAAATATCTCCGCAAATACGCAACCAATTTAATTGTTTGTTTATACCAACAAATCTAGTATTTTTAATATATCATAACTTGTTACGTCTCATTTGAAAAAACAAATAAATAAATTTTTATGCCCAATTACTTATTACTGCCTTTAAAAAAAATATTTAGACCTCTTGGCAAAAACGACGGTGGGTTACATAAAATTTATTTAAACTTTTTTTCTATAACCCTTCGTTTTTAAGAAAAGTGAGAGTTCGATTGAAATAGACACTTGTAGTTTTTACTTACAAATATTGCCAATTAGTATGGTTTTATTTTATTGCAAACCTTTTTTTTCTTTTTCTTTTCAACTAAGTTTTCAAAATTTCTATGGGATTTCGTAATGTTGAGTACAGTGTAATGTTTACAAATCCGGGTAGGCCCATAAATGGAAGATAACACATGAATTTAAGAGAGTCGTGAGATTTTTCTTTAGGTTTGAGGGATGATGAACCTGCATTTCCGTCGTGTCCGATCATTATTATCTGCTATTCCTCACTTTATATATCTTTCAGGAAAATTTCATATCTGAAAATGGCGGAAAGCCTAGAATAAGCAGCCAAAAATTATCAGAAACGACGAAAAAATATAATTGAATTTTATTTAATTATTTCTGTTAAGAGCGCATTGAAAGAAAAAAACGTCTTGGGAAAACGCAATCAATCGTTACAAAGCGAAAAGTAATATTTTGTCTTTTATAAATTATAATCATATTTCAAACGATTTATACTTGTGCAATAAGTTTACCGAGCCATCAAAGAATTATGAGGCATTCCGTTGTCATGGAAGGTATTTATATTCATTACCGTATGCCGTTCATCTTCGATGGCTGCATACAGTTTTTTAGGAAGATATTTCTGATTTCTGTGACATTGGCTATCTCAAAAAGGAAATTCTTTAAAGGATGTTCCCCCAATCGCTTGAAATATGTACTACTACTACTTCTACTCTGTCTGTCTCTCTCTGTCTGTCTGTCTCTCTCTCTCTCTCTCTCTCTCTCTCTCTCTCTCTCTCTCTCTCTCTCTCTTTCTCTCTTTCTCTCTCCATGTATTCAACTCTCTATCTATCTCATTCTATCTCTATCTATCTTTCTAGCTATTATTTGTCGATCTAGTTAATATATATATATATACATTTTTACATATTTACTTAGGGCATAATTATAATTTATAGATACAATAACGTGTCTGCAGAGTTTTTAATTGTGAGATTTTATTTTTAGCTTAACTGTCTCCCTTAAAAACTTCAAAGCAACCAAAGCGAGCGACTTCACTATAGACCAACTCAACAGCGATCTTCCAAGCCTTTATGTCAAGTTGGAGGGGACACTCCCGGCGCTGCACTTAGAAGGCGATTACGAAGTCCTTGGGGTCGTCCAAGGGAGAAAGGTCGAGGGAAAAGGCCCGTGCAAGTAAGCTATTATTCTGTACTCACACCTAAGGAGTTTAAAATTTTTACGAATCGTAAAGAAAACATGACGCCGATAGGGATGATATGTGACAAAACGAAGTGTGTGATGCTCGAGATGATATCGGGCAGCCTGTACCCTTCGCTTTTCAAGCATAAAAAGAAATACAGAGATAAAACGTTGTTCAGAAATAAGTACCATTCCAATGTGCAGTCCAAGTCGGCATTGAGCTTTTTGTACAGCAAGTCGAAAGTCGAGCAAGAAATTAATATAGGTGTTAAAATGCGGTACGCCAGCAAAAATGCGACGATCGGTCCCGTTTTTACCTCCGTGAAATTCGAAAGCCAAGGCTGATTTAGAAATTGTCGATACTCACCGTTCCCTGTTGCAAAAATCCCAAACCAAACAATTATAAGTAAAATCGTTCCCCTTCTGACGTCGTGTTTCCCGAATGGGTCTCGAGTCGTTTTCTCTCCGTTTAAAATCGGTATCTGTGAACTGCGTAATTCCATGCAATAAAAAGTAATCAAGAAAGCGGAAAGAGCCAACAGTCCTATAGGTTCCTCTTGGTGAGTCAGAAGTATAAAACTCGATGAAAGACCGAAGCACAAAGCGCACAGCTTTTTTACGCCCTCCGTGCTATGCAGAACAGCCATAAACGGTGCAAACAATATGACCCTGGATATGAGCACTTTTAAAAAATCAGGAATATCTTCGTTTCTATTTTGTATGTTGTAGATGTTCCACGTAGCCAAGAGTACTAAACACGCTTCTAGAAACGCGAAACAGCAATCGAGAACGTTTCTAAAATAATACATGTAAAACAGCATCATTAAAATCCAGGCTGCTGCGCAGTTGGTCCTCATTTGTAGAATCTCTCCTTCTAAAATTGGTAGGTTCAAGCACATGGCTAAAAAAATAGAAGTCGCTATCCACAACAGCCTTAACACGTTTTCAGCCCTGCCTTTAGAATTAAAAATAGTTACACCCGTCAAAGCCACGACAAGACACAGTCTACCCACTGAGAAATAAATGCCCAAAATCAACAGAATAACAGACATCACTGAAATCCCGCACCAACTCATTTTGTCCACAACGTTTACAGGACCTTTCAAGATATCTATAAAACACAAGACAACTCTCCACATTACGAACACGTTGATTAAAGACGTTATCGTTATAAAGATCGGTATTTTCTTCACATAAAATAAAATTGAAAAGCCAAAACTGAAAAGTAAAAGTGAGCAGTGTGAGACGTTATCTTGCCACGTATTGAAATGCGCCCTGAGCCTGACGACGAGATTGTTTTCGACTTGTCCATTGGTGGCTACAGACAAAACCCTCAAGAATAGCCAAAACCCATAGAGTACATACGTCAAAAACATAATACACCAGATCAAAGTCTTAAAGTAGTATTTATAAAATCTCAACTGCTCTCGGTGTGTGAGAATCAGTCTTTCTTCCACGTATATCTTCTCTTTTTCAACGCTATTTTTCAACAAGGTTTGAAGGATGGTTATGTTTGCAATCCCGCTAGGCGTTTTGGAAGGGTAGTTGTTTAAACCTGTAATGTTCTGGTACTTTATTACAATATTTTTTACCTGTTTCTCGTTGCAACGTAACGCACTGAGCAAATCAATTTCTTCGATATCTAACATTTTGTACGGTATAATTCCTATTGACTGGTCTGGAGGCGCGTGCCCGAGCAACGTAGAAATCAAAGGAGCGACGTCAACGTCTTCTATGTCAACCCGAGTAATATTGACATTTCTCCAATTGCTTCTAAATTTGTACATGTTATTGGGCTTTTTGATACCCGCTCCCCATGCTAAAATCGTCCCTTCTGTATCTTCCGGTCCGCTTTTTCTCCTGTATTTGTTTAAACCGTGATCCGAGGTAAAAACAAAGCTTGTGCGAGAGTCGTTATAAAACGAACGAAATAGGATTTCCGCGTTCATTATCTCAGTGTGAAAGTTGGCTATCACGTCAGCGCACAGGTCGAAGCTGTGACTCCACTGCCGGCAATTGGCCAAGGCAGAAAGGTAGAAAACGAACACCGTGTTGTTTTTCGTTATTCTCGTTCTCATCGTTCTATCGGCGAACAGGGTATCCAATTCGTCAAAAACGAAAGTATCTATAAGCTTGAAATTTTGAGAAGAGACGGCGTCTTTCCTCAAACTCCTGTTCCACGTTCTGACGTACCAATTTTTCCCCGTGGCGTTTATGAACTCGGGAAATAAAGGGTCACCCAATAAAAACACATCGTCGGCTTTGTCGAGTACACTGTCCAATTTGTACTTGACCAACTTGGCGTGTGTCCAGATCAAAGAGGTTTCGAACCTGGTGCCAGAGAAGATGGCAGTGTTACTGTACTCGGCGGCTGATGAGAAATCCCCGTACGAAACTCCCCACGACCCTTCGCTTTCTATTATCCTTCTGAAGAACAGCGTCCTCGCTGTCGTCGACGTCATGGTGTAAAGCTGTTCAGCTTCGAGTTGGCCAACGACAAAAAGAACGACTCTGCTCGCGAGGGGCTGCAAGCTCTCTTCGCACTCAAAACGCCCAACATCGACACTTCTATAATGCAACAAATACGCCAAATATAACAACAACAAATTGATAAAACCCGAAAACGGTAAAAACATTTTTGAAATTATAAATGCCGAAAAAAATGTGGACAGGTGATTTTTGTAATGATAAAACTAAAATCCCTTCTGTATTCCATGTTCTTTCGTAAAAAGCAAAACCACAATATCTCACATAGAAATGATAAATGGTGGAGTGAGTGTGTGGTTCTATCTTTTGAAAAAGGTATTTCCTACTCACAGTTAATTGTTTTCAACAATCCGGGTTTCAAGCTTATAGCTCATCATCAGGTTGAAAGAATTTACAACCACGTCTCTCGACATGAATTGTAAGAGTCATGACTATATTTTTAACCTCTACTGTTAATTGTAATCCTTGACAAAACCGGCTAAAGATTTATTTATTTACTTCATTGTGAAATTTCCAAGAAATGGTGAACCCGTACATTTTCGTTTCGTGTCATTTTGATCTGCCTATCCTGCTTGTTTTGTCCTTTGAAGTTCGTTTCAGCTTCTCGCCATTTTCAGACCCAGAACTGATTTTCTCAATCGTATCTTGTTACAAGGCGTTTGTTCCGCCATTTAGTCTGTTGTTGTAAGCGTTTTGACAAAGATAGCAGAAAAGTGTCTGACTGACCGAAACTTCGAGGACAGGCAGACCAAACTGATCATAATCAAAGAAACTATACATTTATTGATTTTTAAATATTTGTCAGGGTGAAGACAAGAACTAAGAATAATTTATGTACATTATAGACGTTCCGCACCCTCTCTTGAAATCGTAAGAATACTCCAATTATCCAATATTTATTGAATTATTTGTTTCTTCTTATCCTGGAATCCTATTTCACGGACCGCTGCTTCAGAATAAGGTGCGTCAAGGAGAACTTAGATATCGGACCGATAAATGCCGGCGTCTCATATGGGAGCATTTCTGGTTCCATCCTGGTTACCATTTATACTACTGTTTATACTACTACGGTTATACTACTGACTTCTTACACATCTCAACACCATTGAGCAGTTCTGCTTCTAACACCAACTGGTGCAAAAAGTGAAAAACAAAACTGAATAAGGAAAAACGTACAGAGTGTACATTTACATTTAAAAAAAGTTTTGTCCTTCACTGAACATCAATAACAAGACTTCTACTTAACTAAAACACTTATAACACACCTAGACAGCAGACACACAAGACTTAAGACTTGGACTAGTCCGAGAACTGTTTTGACTGTCAAACTACCACTATAACAAAAGACATCACTGCGACCATTCTGTACATACGCGGTGGAACTGTGTGGTTCCAAGCCATCCAATATCCAACCCTTCCAGCCAAAAGTCCGCAGGCAAATTTTCTACCTCCCTTCCGACGTCACCAATCTCATAACTATTTTTCCTTTTGTCAAATCCCGAAAAACCGATTCGCTTAAATAATAAATTAGCCTTTATTAAAAAATTTATTTGTTAAATGAATGACTAAAACCACAATTTTTTCATTTTATTCTTCTAAGGTTTTCTTCTAGATTTAAATGTGTTTAAATGTCATTTTATATTTTATTTTCTGTTTAATTTTATTATTGTTCCTTTATATTTTATTTCATTTAAACTTTTTTTTTTGAAGATCTGAAGTCACTCTGTTTAAGCTGAAAGGAATGTTGGAAGAAAAAGTCGAAAAACACGAACTCCAGGTTTCAAAACTCGAATTTGATTACGACTTAAAAGGTCTTGCGGTAAGCTAAGCTTAACATTATAATCAACAAAACAAACGATAACATTACGTTACATTACAGTTCGACCTCCCTGACCTGAAAGTTGAAGGTATGTCCAAGGAAGAAGTACACGAACTTATCAACAACAAGTTTTTTGAGTATCTCGAGAACAACAAACAAGAAGTCAGCAATGCTGTTGCCAAGCGCGTCAAGGATTATTTGAATAAGGCTACCAAAGGGAAATCGCTCAAGGATATCATGGATTGGTTCAAGAGCATGATAAAACCGGCTGCTTAATTAAAACAATTTTTTAAAAATAAATAAAATAATACACGCTGGCCGTTGGAAATTGATTATTTTCCCTTTTTTGTAATCTTTATTTGACAAAAACGATCACTCATCAACAAAAACCTTTCCTCAATGAAAAGTTGACACCGTCTTATAAAATTGTATCTCAAATGATATTGGGTTGTCCGGAAAATAATGCAGGATTTTGGTATTAAACAAAAAAAAAGAAACTAGTTACTTTAAAGCAATGTTCTTTAATCAAAATAATTTCCCATACTCTCAATACATTTCTCCCAACGTGTTGGTAACTTATTAATTCCGTCTGAGTAGAATTCAGAATTTTTAGAATTGATAAAGTCAATAAATGCATTTTCCAGTTCCGTTTGATTTTTGAATATTATGTGTTGTAAGTAGTGGTCCAGGTGTCTAAAAAAATGGTAGTCAGTAGGCGAGAGGTCCGGAGAGTAGGGTGGGTGAGGCAAAGTTTCATAGCCAAGCTCCAATAATTTTTGTGACGTTACACGTGACACATGTGGTCGAGCGTTGTCATGCAACAAAATGGGCCCTTTCCGATTGACCAAAGAGGGCTTCATTACTGCCAATTTCTGATGCATGGTATTAATTTGGTTACAGTATGATTCAGCATTGATGGTTTCGCCAGGATTTAAGAAGCTGTAGTGTATTAAACCAAATGAAGCCCACCATACCGTAACCATTACCTTTTTTTGATGAGTTGGGGGCTTTGGAAAATGTATTGGAGCTTCTCCTTTGTCGAGCCACTGTCCAGAACGTCTAGTGTTATCGTAGAGAATCCACTTTTCGTCACATGTAACAATTCTGGCCAGAAATGGGTCATTTTTGTTTCGACAAAGAAGTGATGCACAAACATCAAAGCGCTGATTTTTTTGGCGATCGTTTAATGAGTGTGGAACCCAATTTTCGAGTTTTTTCACTTTTCCAATCGCCTTGAGGTGGTCAGCGACGGTCGTTTTACTGACTTTGAGTTGCTCTGCAAGTTCTCGAACAGTTGTTTTGGGGTTTTCTTCCACCACTGATCGCAGAACATCATCATTAAGAGAGGAAGGCCTTCCACGACCTTCTTCATCTTCAAGGCTGAAATCTCCCTCCCGAAATTTTTTAAACCACCTTTGCACAGTGCACTCATTAACACAACCCTCGCCCCAGACTTGGTTAATGTTTCTAGCCGTTTGGGCTCCGCTTCGGCCGAGTTTAAACTCGTAAAAGAAAATCGTACGAAATTCTCGCTTTGACATTATAAGGATGACTGAATTATTTCCAAGTAGCGGAATGCTACAGAGGTAAACAAACAATATCATTTGGAAGAGGATTAATAAGTGTTGACATTCATACAAATGAGTAATCCTGTAAACGTAAACAGAATATTTTATATAGATTTTTTTTAATGAAAACTTAAAATCCTGCATTATTTTCCGGACAACCCGATAGTATTGAGAAGTCAAAAAGATGCAAATTTTGCAAAATCAAGTTTTTGAGTACTTTCTCGATAGATGTAGATGAGCCTTTTGCACTGCATCATAAGGTAGGATTAATATTCCCTTCCACTTAGGTTACAACTCACAATTCAGGCTTTTTCTTAGCCTCCATAGTCTTGATAGTAGCTCCTCAGTTATGTTTGTTCTATTAATCTTTTTTTCGCTTACATAAGTACTGCAGTTTCTTTATCTTCGTGTCATCTACACTATCCTACATTCTTCTACTCTCAATATTTTTAAATGCCTATTGAGTCAGCAATGTCCAGTGCACATTTTGCAATGATCCTGAGTTGGTTTTGACCATGCCGCAGGCGGTCAGTTGTAAGCTTAGAAGAGGACTTAACAAATTCTTTTCCTGCCAACTTCCTGGAGTGTTGTTCCACGTTTTAACATAATCCCGTCGGAAATTGTTTTCGTAGAAGTTTGCAATTTTACAGAAAGTTTTGGGTCTTATTGGAGTTGCTGAGGAACCTTCCCTGATTTTATCGTCCTCTTTGTTACATTTCTGTTATGTATGACAGAAGACAATTTGTTTTTTGTTCTTATTTCCCATTACTCTTACAAAGTCTCATATTCTCCTTACTCTTACTCAGTTGAAGCCAGTTCTATGAGGACAGCTTGGCTGATAAAGTGGACCTTTTTTCCTTCCCACTCATGGTTTTATCTCTTTCGGCACAAATCTATGTTCGGAAAGAATTCATATTCCTTCTATTACAACTGGCTCTCATGCCTATTACAACTGTCTTTTGAGCCATCCGTGTACCAAATAGGATGGACGCTTTCTCAAATACCATAATGTGGTATTTATTTGATAAGTTATACCTAAGGGTCATGGCATACATGGGCAAATATTACTTGCTTTCAAAGTTCCGCTCAAAATCTTAATTTCTTGGCATCTTAAAAACATAATCGTTTGTCCAATCTTGGTTTACGCTGGATGAACATGGTAGAGGGGATAGAGTTAGTACATTCAAGGCAGCGGTCAGCTTGTTCTTTGCGACAGTTCCTATACTGACATAACCTAACTCGTCTCTAACACAAACTTTACCTGAACTAGCATACCCTAACCCTTCTCTAACTTTATTTAACCTAACATACTAATCGTAAAATAATCGATATTAACACTAACTCTACCTAACCTAACATAACCTAACCTAACATAACCTAACCCGTTTCAATAATATCTAACCTAAACCCTTCCCCATAAACTAACCTTTCCCTAACACCACCCTTACCTAACCTAACATAATTATAACCCGTAGTTCTTCACGATAATTTCAATGCGATTACATATTAGTAACAGACACAGAATTGACAATGATCGTTATATCGATATCGGGACTTCTGATTCTCGCTGCCAAGTCAATTGACAGCATCTTTGATAGTTGGTCTTAGGGGGCGTATAATGTTTACAAAATGGGTTCAAAACTGTTTGCATTTTTAAGCTATTGCAACTAAGCATGATGAATTTACAACTGATTATACGAGCTGTACATCAGTTGGGATGACCTATGCATCGATAATAGCACACCATCAACTGCTCAACCCCATAGATAATAATTAACGAGAACATAATAATACAGCATTCGACATACGTGTCTTAATGATCAATAACAAGAAAATGAAATGAGTCTGAGGGACCTATACATAAAAACTGTAAACATAATCGGTTACACAACAATGTCTCCAAATTCGTTGCTGTAATATAAAAATTATATTATTTATTTAGAAATCGTGAGATGCGGTCTGGTGTGATGTAGGTTTCAGAAAAACATTTTCTTATCGTGCCAATGTTTCGATCTTTATTGAGATCATCTTCAGGGCTCAAAGTGTTTGTCTTCTGTGTAATGTTGCCATTCTTGCGTGTCGTGTCGAGAGTGCCGATTTCTAAATAAATATCGATTAACGGTCACTAATCACCACACATTATATTATTTGTAAAACCAGAATAAAAATAATATTGAATTAATTAAAATATATACTTTTAATTCAAATAGGTAATTAACGAGAAATCACCATATCAGACATAGTTGACGTCCTTTGACTCTATATAAAAAGGAAGTTGTCACGCGACCCAATATGAAATTAGCAGCAGCCTTATTGTTTTTGAGCACCACAGCTAGTTTCTTGGATAAAATTAAATACGAGCTGTTACTTATTTACGTGATTTTTTTTTATAGAAACAATAAGCCTGAATAGTGTGACAGGGTTAAAGATGAATATCTAATACTTGGAAATGGTGTGCCCTATTGAGAGAATGAGTAATTTATGTTTTGCTCATAATTTGCATTCGGGAGCGGGGCTGAAATGACCTAGTTGTCGATAGACTCGGAGCCTAACTTCTGTGGGAAGGACGGACAAGACCAAGCTGCCAACAACACTGTAGGTGAGAAGTCTAATTCCAATTCCAACAAACTTCTAAAACACGCTAAATTCTCAAATAAATATTTATACTAAATTCACTGCTGAGCCAATGGCAATTATTTATTCCCCAATATTGACGGAGAACCGCACAAATTTCAACGGTTTAGTTGTCTTAAACAACAACAAACTTTAGCTGATGATTTTTCGTTTAAACGAGTTTTAATTCATTTACCGTATATTTGGCGAATAATTAATCTTAAAAATTAAGTAGAATATTTGCTTAGCTTGTCTTTTAAGTCAACATATAGGCGCGATTTCAAAGTAACAAATGCATACTGACATACCACACTTGCAGTGTTTCTTTACGTTAAAATATATGTACAAATATTTTTTTCCAAGTTGTTAGCCAAAACAAGTAAAATAAATAAGCAACTCGATGTAATATTCAAAACGAAAGATTTTTCATTTGTAAAATCTTCTCAAAATTACAATTTACATTTTAATGATGTCATGGATACGATTTTACTGGTTTAAATTTCCTCTTCCTTGATTAAAATACTCAGAATGTGCGTTATTTACAATAATGGTATTATTTAAACTTCGGTGGCTTTCTGAGCCTTGCAATTGTAAAACTTTTGATAAGTAAACAGAAAAAATGTTTAAAAACAAACCGCTACAACATGGATTTATAAAAATTCAAGTAGGACTCATCATAACTCACCTTCAGCATCAGTTTAATTTATTGTGACATTTCCTTTTGGGGTATGCGGTGTGATGAACCTGTAGTTAGGCATTTCCGATCATTTCGGCCTGTCTATTCTCGCTATTCGTTACAACTGAGGACAGACGCAGCACACAGAGGAAGAACGCGTCTGACAGACCAAAAACGCGAGAATAAGCAAACTGGAATACAACTAACTACCAAATTATAAGTTTCTTTATACTTACTTAAACCGAAACATCTTACTTCGTCACAACTCGGCAAGCCTGAGTTTTGTATTAAAATATTTTCTCCACTTCATAAAAAAATACTGAAGCATGATATATAACCTAACTCTTACTCTATGTAACATGACATAACCTAACCTTAACCCTTCCTAATCTAATAACCGAACCCTAACTCTAACCTTACTTAACCCAACAAAACCTAACCCGTTCCTTATTTTAACCAATTCCATCTAACTTACCATAACCTAACCCGTTGAATTCTATCTAACCTGCCAAACCTAACATAAACTAACCCATTTCTTACCCTAACCAAACCTACCTAACCTATCATATTCTAACCCGTCCCCTAACTGTATCTAACCTATCCCGTCCCCGAATGGCTATTTTTTATTTTGACGCACTTTTTTAAATTCTTAAATTTTCTAGATTTAATTTAATCCGATTTAATTAACAAAAAGCTAATAAATATTTTCTTGTAACAATAAATTAACGTTCCTACTTTATTAATGCTAAAAATAAATTATGTAAAATTATTTTGTAATCAGCAATGGAAACAGGATGAATAAACAGCCTCATTACAGGGTTAATGTGGCGGGAGGAAACCCCTGACCCTAACCTAGCCTAATCTACCCTCATTCTAATCTAATCTAACATAATCTAACCCAACCTGAACCGACATAACATTACCTGCCCCCAGCCCTATGAAACTTAACGTAACCTAGCATAACCTAATCTCTCCCCTATCTAACTTAATAAATCCTAACCCTAAATCTAAATAACCAAGCCCGATCCTTAGGTAATCTGGCATAACCTAACCATGCCTAACTCATATAACTTAGCCCGTCCACAATTCACACTTTTTTCTGTTGCCCATTTCAACTTAACGTAAAAGTTTTAGCCTTGTTGGTTGCACTATTATGTCTTGAACTCTGACCAAGCTGAATCGTATTATCAATTAATGTTTTCGTACAAACGTTAAGGATTCTTGGGTAGTTGAGCTCAGGCGTTATCATGTTCCTGTTCTCTGCAGATTGGTGGTTTTAAACACAAGTTGAAAATCATGTGCTTTTTTTGGTTTCATGTTCAAGAGTAAAAGTTTTTGTAGAACCATGAAATATTCTAAGTATATTTTGAATTAATTCAGACCAGAGAGTTTTTCTTTACCTCCTTCAACCATCTTGACTCGTTAGAAGAGAATAGTACGCCATCAGCAAACAATCACAAGATGGCATCGATCCATTCGATAAATATCATCACATTTCTCACAAGAAAAAATACACTACGAAATAAAATTCTTAACAAACACAGATTTAGTAAGAAACCGACTTTTATTTCAAATCATTTGAACAATTCAATAAAGTAGAACGAGTCACAAACATAAAGAAGACTATCATCTAAATTAAAGATGTTAAAACAGTGGCAATTTACAAAAAGAAAACATAACTCACTCTCACGGAAACGTGGAAGCTTCGGGTACTCCCAACTCACCTACATGAGTAAGAAATAGATTTTACACAAAATTTTGAAATATTTTGATTTCTATTTTATTTTTTCCCATATGTTTAATTTATGAATAACAAAGCTTAATTAATAATCCTAACTGAATTAGTACTTAAGTTTGAATGTTTTAAGTATTTTATTGGTACCTCGAATATAAAGTCAATGTTAAATGTTTAAAGAGTCAAGCTCACTTCCTGAATAGAAATTATTGCAGCAAAACAGAATAACACCTGTTGAGGATCGTCGCATACTTTGATATCAACTGAGTTTAAACACCGATAAAAACTTTATACTTTTTTGGCGTTTACTTTTGAACAAATTCTAATTAAACGGATTTCAATAGTTCCTGACCAAGTGGACCCACTGTCGTTCTTGACTGAAAAGGCACTCGAGTTCGCAAAACGTTACTTGAAAAAGAACGAGCCGTTCACTTACAAAGAGCTGCCGATTCTGAAAGTGCGGGGTGATGACATCAACCTTCAGGTCAGAATCAAGGATCTGTCAGTCGCGAGCGGGGCTACCTTCCGCACAGACGACATCATCACCGACCCGGAAAGGATGTCGATCCGCTTCAGAATCATCTTTCCTCAGATCATCATAGCGGGTCGTTATTCGGTCAGCGGAAAAGAAGAAGGAAAGAAGGTCTCCTCTAAAGGCCAATTCAGGTAAAAACTATTAACCGAACTTCTTATCACACTGTTATAATCCGCTGTGTATGCTTAATTGTGTAATCAGGATTGGACTTTATAATTCGAAGGTAACCGGGCGCCTCAGCTTGCTTATAATCGAGGGGAAAATATACATCAAGCGATTTGACATGGACTATTTCATCAATAACAACTTAAAGGTATAATCAAATATTATATTGATGTCTGTAATGCTAATTTTTTGACAGTTTAGGTGGAACAGTTAAGCATAGATAGCAAGGGGATGACGGAAGACGATCTTTTCGAACTGCTACCCCATGTCATGTTCCTTTATCTCGAAGAAAATGAAAAACTCATATGCTTCATAATTAGCATCGAACTTACAGAATATGCAAACGTTCGGCTGGCCAAGCTTTCTGTTAAAAACGCTGTGAAATGGCTCACAGAAGAAGTTTAAATTACAATTAAACGCAAAATAACAACATTTGTAGTTTAGTCTTCTCCTATCATTTTGGCCCGCCTATTCTCGCTGTTTCGGTCTGTCAAACATTTTTTAGCTCCTCATCATCTTCTGAAAAAGGGGAAAAACAGTTTGATACAACAGTCTAATACAACAAAAATAGCGAGGATAGGCAGACCAAAATGATTGGGAAGACCTACAATATTATCTAACCTTACCGCTCCTCACTATTTCAAATACTCGATATTACCTAAGTTAAGGTTAATGAAAAAAAAGGTGTTTCTTTTTATCGTAATCATTTTTGCTGTAAAGCTGCGACATAAATTGCATATAAAACGTTATTTTTAAAACTAACTAATAAGCTGGGCGGAAAGTAGGCTAAACCAGCAATTCAGTTCTGTCCATCTGTTTGGTTGGACTTCTGCGCCGTTCAGTTTTCCCTATTATCCGACAAATGATTGTTATCGTTAAATTATAATTATAAATTGTTCGTATGTTTCATTTAAAATTAACAAATGTCCTTAGTTACTGACTTTGCGTAAGATTTTGTTATATTTAATTAATTAAGGTTTTTAGTCGAGATGAAAAAAGCTAATGGCACGAGCGGGATTCGAACCCACGATCTTCGGCTAGATACGCCGCTGCTTCTACCACTTGAGCTATCGTGACCTCGATCCACTCGGACATCAACTTACTATCTCAACCCCACCTTATGAGTTTTCCCTCCTTTTTGCCATTTTTCATGAGGTCACAATAGCTCAAGTGGTAGAGCAGCGGCGTATCTAGCGGAAGATCGTGGGTTCGAATCCCGCTCGTGCCATTAGCTTTTTTCATCTCGATTAAAAACCTTAATTAATTGTAATGTATTAATTGGTCAAGCGGACCACAAAATTAGTGAAGTTATATTTAATACTTAATCATCAGTTTTAAATAAGTTTAACGAGTTGTATTTGTAAATACCATATGAAATAAATGTACCAAACCTACATATATATTAATTGAGAGTATTAATTTTAACTAAAACACATAAAAAGATAAAATTTCACACTGCACAATAGACTAATACTGGTCGTGGTGTGTAAGGTCGTAAAGAGGCTGACCCTTTTTAACATTTAAACTTAAGTTTCGCATAAAACGACTAAAAAATTGGAATTATGGTATCGTTTTGGAAATGTATTTGATTTCTAGTTGTCTGGTAGGGAAGTTGAAATAATGTAAGAATGGGTACTTATGAAATGAAAAATTTAAAGCAACCTCTGGCGTACCACAAGGTTTAGCCCTATCCTATTTTTAATATACATTACTGTCTTATATTTTTCATATTGCTTGAAACCATTCCATCAAATTAATAATTCTCACAATTTTCTTTTATTGGAATAAAATTTAGATACCTAGAAAGTTAACGTATCATTGATGGATGTTGGTCTATGAGTCATTGAACCATGTTGAACCAACCCTGTCACTTGTATCTGTCTACACTCAAGAACATTTCTCATTGCTAAAAACTAAGTAATATAAAAATCCACAAGTGTAAACGGAACCAAGAAGTGACCCAGTGCCAGTTCAAAATCTAATTAGGGTAAATATCACCAATGTTTTTTCATCTAAAGATTTTTTTATTTGTATAAACGTTATATATGGACATAATAGAACATGCATACATATATTGGGTTGTCCGGAAAATAATGCAGGATTTTGGTATTAAACAAAAAAAAAGAAACTAGTTACTTTAAAGCAATGTTCTTTAATCATACATTTCTCCCAACGTGTTGGTAACTTATTAATTCCGTCTGAGTAGAATTCAGAATTTTTAGAATTGATAAAGTCAATAAATGCATTTTCCAGTTCCGTTTGATTTTTGAATATTATGTGTTGTAAGTAGTGGTCCAGGTGTCTAAAAAAATGGTAGTCAGTAGGCGAGAGGTCCGGAGAGTAGGGTGGGTGAGGCAAAGTTTCATAGCCAAGCTCCAATAATTTTTGTGACGTTACACGTGACACATGTGGTCGAGCGTTGTCATGCAACAAAATGGGCCCTTTCCGATTGACCAAAGAGGGCTTCATTACTGCCAATTTCTGATGCATGGTATTAATTTGGTTACAGTATGATTCAGCATTGATGGTTTCGCCAGGATTTAAGAAGCTGTAGTGTATTAAACCAAATGAAGCCCACCATACCGTAACCATTACCTTTTTTTGATGAGTTGGGGGCTTTGGAAAATGTATTGGAGCTTCTCCTTTGTCGAGCCACTGTCCAGAACGTCTAGTGTTATCGTAGAGAATCCACTTTTCGTCACATGTAACAATTCTGGCCAGAAATGGGTCATTTTTGTTTCGACAAAGAAGTGATGCACAAACATCAAAGCGCTGATTTTTTTGGCGATCGTTTAATGAGTGTGGAACCCAATTTTCGAGTTTTTTCACTTTTCCAATCGCCTTGAGGTGGTCAGCGACGGTCGTTTTACTGACTTTGAGTTGCTCTGCAAGTTCTCGAACAGTTGTTTTGGGGTTTTCTTCCACCACTGATCGCAGAACATCATCATTAAGAGAGGAAGGCCTTCCACGACCTTCTTCATCTTCAAAGCTGAAATCTCCCTCCCGAAATTTTTTAAACCACCTTTGCACAGTGCACTCATTAACACAACCCTCGCCCCAGACTTGGTTAATGTTTCTAGCCGTTTGGGCTCCGCTTCGGCCGAGTTTAAACTCGTAAAAGAAAATCGTACGAAATTCTCGCTTTGACATTATAAGGATGACTGAATTATTTCCAAGTAGCGGAATGCTACAGAGGTAAACAAACAATATCATTTGGAAGAGGATTAATAAGTGTTGACATTCATACAAATGAGTAATCCTGTAAACGTAAACAGAATATTTTATATAGATTTTTTTTAATGAAAACTTAAAATCCTGCATTATTTTCCGGACAACCCGATACATGGCAACTCTACTGCCCAAGAATGTGGAGTCATAGTTGATTGCAAATTTTTTTAATGTCCAATTACATCAAAGTCCAACTGGATGTTAGGATTTATCTATCACAATTCTAAAGCCAGCATATTAATTCACTCAAGTAACTTCACTGTTCTTCAGTTAGACCTCATCTGAAATTTTTGGCTTGGAAAGGAACAACAAGTTCAACAGAAATTCAAGCTTTGTTGAAGGGCTGGCTGTTTGGCCAGTGATACTGGTAAGATCATATGGTACACGTTGTCAGTACTAGCCCAGATGCTCTTTCACAGCTCTTTTTGGTGAGGCTTAATTGGATGTTGGAACAGGACACTGTCTTATCTAGACCTGTGATGCATGTTTTGCAAGTGAATCAACAACCTCATTCCCTTGTTGGCTACTCGTACCCAGCTGAAGGACACCTCGGTTCCGGATTTGCTTGTTATCAATTGCTTGGATTGATAAAATAGACATTCAGAGATTTTCCAGATCATTTCATAGTAAAACTGCTTTTCTGTTCAATGGTCATACCCTAACTGAAATATGGCTCTTTAATTTGGTCACCCTGTCACAAATCCTCCATTAGAAAAAATTTTAAAAGTACAAAGAAAAATTATGGCTTCCGCTATTTAGGCATGTTGTATGTCGAATTATGTGACATACTGGGCCTTGCTTATTTGCTAGATTTGTTTTCCCTTTTCCATCTTTTAAATAATCATATTGACCACCATTCTTAATTTAAAAAATATTAACTTTTACGTACCTCTCCCTTACACCTTATGACAAGCCAAAGTATTATTGAATAGCCCTCTCCTACAAATTATGAGAACAGCAACCTCTCTTGGATTTGTAACAACAATAACAAAAACTACAGATCTGACGACTAATACTCACATAGTAAATGGTCATATTTCATATGGTATTCATTTACATTTTATCTGCAGATATTAATAGACTAAAAACTTTGAATTAATTGACCAAGGGAGTAGTGCATATAAAACAGAAAATCACCACCAAAAGTATTGAGGAAGATCTTAATAAAAAATTATATTATCAATACAACTGATAAGCTGATTGAAGAAACTCAAATAACAACAATAAAAGAAAATTAGAAGCCAGAAAGGAAAAAGTGAATACTAAAAGCAAATACAAGTGTCAGAATGGTAAAAGTTAGAAAAGATAAAAGGAGCATCACTACAATTGTGTTACACTAATTCACTTATCTAGGATTCATTCCATATACTTACTAATATGTATTATTTAGTGACTCTTGATATAATGTAGAGCCAATTAACAACCATTCTTATGTACATATACTCCAAAAGGCCTACGGAGTACTGGATATTGTAACAACCTCAACACAAAGTATGCGACTAATCTATACTGATGTCTCTCACACTAAATATTCATGCTAATAAATACATTCAGTCTCATAAGATATTTCACAAACAATGTTGCATTAAACCCAAATGTCTTACAAAAATCATATGAGTGAATTCACAATATACAGTTGTATCCTCGTACAGTAGTAAACAGCGGAATAAAAATTTACATTTCACAACACCATCACATAAAACTAATATGACACTACAAGAATAGCACCACACTTAATGTATGTATGAAATACTTGGTTCAAAATTTATATTTATCTGTATTGTATTTTTTACAATCAACATATGTTTTGTAATTTACCCAGGCCCTGAAGATGACCCGAATAAAGGTCGAAACGTCGATAAAAAAATGAAAAAGGTGTTTTTCTAAACTCTCATTCTTGACCACTCCTCATGACTTAAATAAACTACTAATATAATTTAAAAATGCTGTATTTCTTAACAAATAAATTAAATTGTAAGCTAAGTAATACTGAATATGAAAAGATGGACCAGTTTTGTAGTAATACGTAAAAATTAGGGAATAAAACAGTAGCCTAAAGAAGGCAACTGTCTGATAGCTAGCTGGTTTTCTGATTAAATTAAAATATCACAGCTCTACAAACTTTAAAATATTTAACAAAATACATTTTATATGAATTTGTAAAATCTTTTAATTAATGTTTTTAAAGCCCTAGTAGTGATCATCTCCCACGTTCTCTCCACTTTATTTATTTTACCTTTATCTTTCTCCTTCACAGACACAAATTTAGCAATACATAAAGGACTTTAATGGAAGCAAAAATACTACAGTGCTACAAACACTGACATGTTGAGTATCACTTCAAGCCGCTTATAAAGAAATGTTATACCTACTGCTAACCAAATCAAAGAAAAGGACACCCATTCAGAAAAGGAAGACTGGAAAATTTCATTTACATGGGTCAAAGCATAATAATTGACTAGGTTATTAGGAACCAGTCTTACAGGCAGTTTCAAAAAAAATTCCAGTCCTATGTCTGCCAAAAGTGCAAACAAAAAATTATAACTATGTAGGAAACCAAGTAAAAATAGAGACTATAGCATCTATGCTGCACCTTCATTCAGACTATAAGCTCCTACTGAAGTGTTGTGACCAGCATGAGCTTAGAGCCTATGTTTTGTGCCTGTGTCTGATTATTGTTAAATCAGATAAATTCATAACTTTATGTTATAAAAATAAAGTACTTTTTTTTTATTCGGAAATCGTGAGATGCAGTCTGGTGTGACTTACGTTTCAGAAAAACATTTTCTTTATCGTGCCAACATTTCGATCTTTATTGAGATCATCTTTAGGTCCTGGGATTTACAAACATTGTTTAAATTTAACAAATACATGTAGGATGTGGAAAAAAGTGAATTTATATAAATAAAAAAATATATATTTTTTATATTCAATCAACGTATTTCTACTCACTCAAAAGTGTTTGTTTTCTGTGTAATTGTGCCATTCTTGCGTGTCGTGTTGAGAGTGCCAGTGAGATTTTGCTGTTTTATGTTTATATATGTTGGATTTTGAAGAAGGAAAGGAAGTCGGTGTACTTCGTCACACCAGACTGCATCTCACGATTTCTGAATAATCATAGACTAGTGGTCACTTCACCACACACGTACTTCTTTTTTATGAACATATATGCTGTTCATTGTTAACAACCAAACAACATTAACACTTCCTTTCTACATTTCATTTCTTTTCTTCACCACACTCCACTTCTCCACACAATTACCTAATGATAATTTTAATATGTATTGTATAATGGGAAAAAAAAACATGCTTGTAATCTTGCATCCTCATTCTAACCATCTCTATCCCTGTAATTAGTTACCAGCCTTTCAACAATATAAAACCTCTGTGCAACTATTAGGCATACTGTTAATAAGGTTATAACTAATTTCATAAAGACAATTAATTAAGGTTTTTAGTTGAGATGAAAAAAATTTAATGGCACGAGAGGGATTCGAACCCACGACCTTCGGCTAGATATGCCGCTGCTGTACCACCTGAGCTATCGTGACCTCGATCCACTCGGACATCAACTCCTCATCTCAACCCCACCTTATGAGTTTTCCCTCCTTTTGCCATTTTTCTGCCAACTAAAAACCTTAATTAATTGTCTTGTATTAATTGGTAAAGCGGACCACGAAAATAGTGAATTAATAATTTCATAAATTTCACTCCATAGATGTCACAACGCTACACACAGATGTTGCAGGTCAACTGGCTGTGGTTGGTGATCAAAAAGCCTTCTCTGCAATGCATCCCACATGTGCTCAATGGGATTGAGGTCTGGAGGCAATGGGAGAAGGGGCAGATGGGAAATTCCCAGGTTTTCTTAACAACAACGAACAACTCTACCTCTATGAGGTCTGGCATTCTCATCCAGAAATCAAAAATCCCTGTCAATGAGATCCCTGTTTGAGGGATGTAATCACCAATAATTGCTTGGACATAACCGACTTTGCTAAGGTGCCTTCAGCAGTATGGAATCCAGTCCGTTCTTCAGTGTAAATCCCAGCTCAGACCATTACAGTGCCTCCTTCAGACTGCACTGAAGAGAGTACGAACTGGGGCATTGTACACATCCCTTGTTCTTGGAAGATGCTTCGTCGCCTACTATAACTATAGAGACAGAATCACAACTCATCAATAAACATACAGCATTCCAAATGGTGTTCTCTTTGAGGCGCTCTCTGTATCATCTTCTCCTGAGTTGCTAGTGCTAGGCTGTTGCTGCAGGTCATCTCAAAAAGGCATCTGATATGAGGCCAACTTCCTACAATAGATTATGAATCCTTTGTGTTGATAAAGGCCTCGTCAAAACATCTTGTACTTCATTTAGGATCTGTTGGGCACTGTGGAAAGGGTTTCCGTCTTGCAGCTTTCTGTCCTCCCTTTGCGTTGTAACCCGCTGAGATCCACTACCAGGCCTCCTATTGGTACTTAATTGGGCTAACCACGTCCGAGACAAACCAACTCCCTCTGCGATATCCACTTGCCAGTGGTACACAATAATATTGCGAACTTCGGGTTCAAGATGATGTCTTTCCATGGTTAAAGAGAATATAACTGGATTAGAAAAGATGAGAAAATGTGTTTGTTTACAAAATGAATAAGCTTCATGCTTAATATTTTTAAGTAATTATTTAGAGATCGTGAGACGCGCCACGCGGTCTGGTGTGATATAGGTTTCAGAAAAACATTTTCTTTATCGTGCCTACGTTTCGATCTTTATTGAGATCATCTTCAGAGCCTGGGATTTACAAACGTCGTTTGAATTTAACAAATAAATGTAGGATGTGGAAAAAAAGTGAATTTATACAATGCGAAATATATTTTTTATATTCAATCAAAGTATTTCTACTCACTCAAAAGTGTTTGTTTTCTGCGTAATTGTGCCATTCTTGCGTTTCGTGTTGAGAGTACGAGTGAGATATTGCTGTTTTATGTTTATATATGTTGGATTTTGAAGGGGTGGGGAGGGATGTCTGTATAGAAAAGACATTTTTGTATAAGGCGTCGGCTTCTTTGAGGTGAAAAGAGCCGACGAAGGGAAAAAACGTTGGTAATGGTTCGGCCAGATTATCCTTTCAGGATTATATACACGGAATAAATAGGAAAAGGAAAGCTAAATTGTTCAAAAATTAGACTGTAAAAATGTTTGACGTGTGGAATGTGATGTGATGACATAAGTATGTTATCTATATTGAATTTGAAATCATCGACTAATCACCACACATTTTTAAGTAAATCTATTATTTAATGAGGATTAACATTTAATGGTTTTTGGGTTTTTTTTCTATATTGTTTCATCCAACGAAAAAGAATATATTTTTTTAATTGAATTAAAATTAATAGAATAAGAATAAATTGCAAATATCCCTATTCATTTTTGAGCAGTTTATATAGAAAGAATATTTATTTATTTATTTATTTACGGATCGAAATCCACTATAAAAAAAGACATTTTACAAAAACAAAAAATATAAATAATATATGTAAAAATACAAATAATATATATAAAAAGAATAAGGACGTATATTCATGGTAATAATATAAATGGTAAATATAAATGATAAATATAAAAATACAATTAAAGAGTAAAAACTGAACAACAAAAATGTAAGACATAATTACTAACCAAATAAGGCAGAGGAAACAAAATAAAGCTGAAAGACAATTGAAACTACAATAATTAGGTACATATTTAATGAAAATAATACTCTTTGTAAATATATAATAAGACTAGAGTGCGAGAATTAGTTGAACCAGTAAATGAAATAAATTGTAATAATTTTGTACAGTATGAAATATAAAAGCATTCAACTAAGGTTGTAGGATAAGGTTTTTCACAGATTGCACAGAACTATTGAAGAAGTCAATGCTATTGCAGATGTTGTTACTCTTGATCATCATTCTGTGTAGAGGAGAAGAGAGCATGTAGTTAGAGCTTTGGAATTCAATATAAAATAATTTATAGGTTTTAAGAGAGTACGAAGGGACATGTAGCTGTAGTTGAGAGAGGAGATAAGGACTATCAATGAGATTGTTTAATAATTTAAATACAAAAACAATATCAAAGTAATCCCTTCTTAGTGCCAGTTCGAAAAGTTTAAATTCAGAGCGGATTCCAGGGTAGGCAGAATTCGGAGGAAGATTGAGTTTGTAGGAAAGTTTTTTTAAAAATTTGTTTTGTACAGATTGAAGAATTTTTTGATAATTTAGATAGAATGGGTTCCAAACAGGTGTAGCATATTCTAGTATGGGTTGTACAAAAGCTTTATAAAGATGGACAAAACATAGAGGATTTTTAAATTCATAGGTGTTCCGGATGATGAAACCTAGCATCTTCATAGATCTATTTTTTATTGAAGAAATATGTTCTTTAAACTTGAGCTTTTGATCAAAAAGTACACCAAGATCCTTTACGACCTCAACTCGCGTTAAAAGAGCATCATGGAGAGTATAGAGATAAATAAAAGGTTGTTTCTTATGAGAGAATGTAATTGTGTAGCATTTGGAAACATTAAGAGCAAGTTTGTTATTAGAGCACCAGGTTAGCACATTATTGATAGAATTTTGTAATTGTAAGCAATCGGAAGGAGAAGTGATTATGGAATAGATTTTCAGATCATCAGCAAATAATAAAAATTGAGCAGAAGGGAGAGCAAGATGGATATCATTAATAAATAAGAGAAACAAAACTGGTCCAAGATGAGACCCTTGCGGGACTCCCGAGGAAGCCACAAAGGGACATGATTTAAATGATTTTATTTTGACTATTTGTTTTCTGTCGGAAAGAAAGAATATGTAGACAAAGAGGGATTTTTACATTATTAATGATTTAATTTTCTACAATTTGCTAATTACAACAGATTTAAGGAAAATCAAACTTTCCTGGAAAGAAAAAAATATGATAGCCAGTAAGATTCACTATTGTTTAATTCTTTTTAATTTATAGGCAATCAAGCTAAATAAGCTGTCATCACTTTTTATTTATGTACATATTTTGTTTATTTAAAATTAATTAATTTTTCTTCTTTCCTTCCCCTTATCAAATTAATTATTTCCCTTCCAATTTATTCACTTTGTTCATTTGCTTGATGATTAATGTTGGGGAGAGAGTGGTGGCAGCACCCTATAGGGCCCCAAAAAGGGACCTGCAAAAAGTCGTCCCAGTTTTTGGTTTAATTCGGTGTTTTTCTAATAGCCACCAGCCAGACCCTCAGAGCCGTTTAATTGTTTAATTCGTAAGACTGTTAATTCATTCACATTAAATCTTATTATAAACGCGAAGCCACAAATACTAAACTAGATCAAATTTTTGATGTTTCAGAGACGGAAAATTTATGTAATATAAATACATAGTTTGGTTATAATGTAATATTTTAGCTAATCTGTTAAATTTTGCTATTTAGTATTAGTATTGTTATTTTGAATTCGTTGGAAATTTAAACTGATACATAAACCGATAAAGCCCATGTTTGTGTAACCGTAGGAAGGTTGCGCCTCTATCCAGATTTCCAGAGACCAGAACCTCCCAAGACTGTTCAGGACTGTGGACCTGTGGTGTTACCTCTGCCGACAGTTCGAAATTCGAATGCCGCAGGCATCCGGTATTACATAGTGCCACACTTGTCTGGCTTTTTTCACACGAAAAAATGGAAAGGACCAAGTCCTCGTCGGGACGCGGCAGCAAGAGCAAGGCGCCGCAGTTTCCCCAGGATTTGTACGTCCTGGGAGCGAAAGGCAGCTCGGCCGATAACAAGCAGAGAAACGCACCGGCGAACAGCGGACCCAAAGCTACGTTACCTCAGTCTTCAGGTATGTCATTCTGGTAAAACATAAATTATTAAGATTGCAAGGGATTATCTTTCTACTCGGGGAAAAATGTGACTATTCGTTTGATCTCAGAGCTTAGACATGGCATCTCTATCCAGATACTTCACACTTTTTAATCCCATTTGCACAAAATGTAGCATTATGCAGTTCCATTCTGCTGGGCCTAAAGTTTACTTTCAGTTAATATTTTTCTACATTGATTTACTTCGATATTATTTTTATTCTTAAACCATTTTCGATGCCTCCAGTCAGGCATGTGAATAAGTATGACAGTGTCAGGGTCACAACATTGTTAGAGGAAGGATAGAATCAACGCAAAGCTGCCACGGGACTTAGTATATAGGAAGGGTTCTTTGGGCTTCAGAGAAACAGGACTTCATAGAACACCAGGACAGGGTCTTCGGGTGAGAGAGATGATAAATTCATCCATCATCAAGCTCTACAAAATTGCAGCATTATAGGAAATGACGTACGAAATCTGATAAGACACGTCCGAAATGTTTCCATTTCCTCCAGGACTGTAGGAAGAAGGCTCAATGAAAACATCAGTATCCAGCTCATGGACGTCTTCTTACTAAAGCTCAGAAAATGGCCAGGCTTCAATTCGGGAACATGTGATTTGGAGATTGGAAGATTTGGGACGAATTTTCTTTACAGATAGAGTTGGCCTCAAATTGTTAGACAGGCATAATTTCATATGCTCCATGTTGTATGGTTCCTCATTTCTCGGTAGGCATTGATGTTCTGGGATGACATTTCTCGGTGGGTCATTGATGTTCTGGAGTGACATTTCTCGGTGGGTCATTGATGTTCTGGAGTGGTATTTCTCGGTGGGTCATTGATGTTCTGGAGTGGTATTTCTCGGTGGGTCAGTGATGTTCTGGGGTGATGGGGTGACATTTCTCGGTGGGTCATTGATGTTCTGGCGTGACATTTCTCAGTGGGTAATTGATGTTCTGGAGTGGTATTTCTCGGTGGGTCAGTGATGTTCTGGGATTTAAAAAAGAAAAATATGAAAGGAGCCAGTTTACAACTTTCAGACAGTCAGGTATAAAGGCACTAAATGTGCTTTTAGCTCCAAACAAATCTGGGAACGCATAAATTGCCTAATAACCTTACGAAAGCACAAGTTGGTGTTGGTTTCTGTGATATAAAAATATAGAAGGAAACTAAAAAGGTGACCACTTGGCCAAAAAAGGGCAGCCATCCCACCCATGAAACCAGCATCAGAGCGTATGCTAAAGTTTTAAGTGGAAAACTTTCTTGAGAAAGAAAATCCCAACGACCTGGCCAAAACACCAGATATGAGGCACGCTAATTTCTCAAAAACCATGGCTAAGGAACTCCTATATACGGCCACTGCCCTCTTAACCACCACTTACAGAAGATGTGCAAAATAGTGACATGCCAACTATGATGGAGAAACCAAAGACATTGGCACACATCCTTTGTGGATGTGAAAGATCCTGGTTACAGTTCAACCACTTTGGCAAGGCAGTTCTCTTCTTCAAGGAGGCACTAATGAAAGTGCTTAGTTTTATAGGAAAAGGTGCTCTTTCTCAAGTATTAAAGTTGGCGTTTATTAGCCTGCAGATGGCACAAAACTGAGTGAGAGTAGACAGACCTAGTAAAGTGATCCCACTAGCTGACAAAACTATGAAAACCAGGATCAATTAATCACTTTTAAATATCTTTTAATATATTTTTACTTATTTAAATTGTGTATAATTTCAAAGGAAAAATATTTTATCTTATTTAATTGACTAGGTGAGAGAGATAGAAAGCGTGATGGCCCTGCTTTATCATCGTCGATTCCCTCAAAAAAGTCTAAGTTATCGAGCGGTTTGGGCCAGCGTGCAGGAGTTACAACTTCTGGGAGTTCGTCTTCAAGCAGTTCCTCTTCGTCAACTGACACATGGGAATCATTAGCGCTCGAAGTTGACACACCAGAATTGGTTCCTAACGTTATGGAAGCATTAGAGAACGATGAACAAGACAAATGTGTAAGAATTTTGTCTAATATGTTTTTTTGTTATAGTTTGTATTTATTTATTTTTTTTTTTAATTTTGTAGATTGGTTTAATTTGTGGTGCGATTAAATTACTTAAAGGGCAGAGGTTCAAAGTAGACTCAATACTCTATATCGGATTGTCTTACCTTTCAAAAATTAAAAGTTCCCTATTCACAAACGAATTCATCGTCGCTGGGCTCAGTTCTCTTTTAAAAAGGGAAATTGTGAGTTCTTCATTTAAAACACTTCCTTCAAAAATGAATATCATTACAGCCCTTTTAGCGATAAACATCATCAACAATTCTTTCAAAGAAATAAAGAAATGGCCTGAAAGTTTGTTAAAGGTATATTCGACATTTGTTAATATTTATTACCTAGACTAACAAAAATTGTTGTTGATCAATTTTATAGCTATACTTGGAGGATGCTGGCGGCGACAGGAACTGGGTTGACCATGATCTCGCCAAGAATTTTGTAGAGAATATTATCTATTCTTTGGGCACGAAGCACAGCTCAGCCATCCTGCCCGAAATAGCCGGTCGGCCAGAACAACAAGAAGATGACATCGTGACGACAATTAAAATGACACTCTCGGAGCCATTCATGGTCGAGACATTTACACCCGCTACAAAGTTAGTTTCATAAACATTAAATAAATTATTTTTTTATTTCTAAGGATATTTTCATCCTGAATTTAATATTTTTAGCCGATTTCGTTGGAACAAGGATTCTGTTGAAAATATCGTTTTGGAAACTGTTAAGGAACAGTTGTCAAGAAGACAGAGTATTGATCTTATAAACAGAAATTTTCTCAGGATGTTAACTGCCTTGTGTGGAGTATCCGAGGTGTGTTTTATCACACATTCTTCTTAATTAAACTATTACATAAATTATTACATGTATTTTGTTTTGATTTTAATAAATAAGGTGAGACTTTTGATCACGCCAAGACTGGAAGCCTGGATACAGAACCCAAAACTGACACGCTCAGCACAAGAGCTTCTTATGTCGGTCTGCGTCAATTGCAGCACACATACAAAAAAGGATATTGAAGTTATTAGCTCACTGATCAAGATGAGGCTGAAGACAAAAGCGCTCAGCAGTTATTACCAGCTGTGTATTAAGTATGTATTGTAATTATAAGCTGGATGGTGCATTTTTCAACAAGCCATTAAAAAAAAAAATTCATAGCCTGCTTTTAAAAGGTCTTTAAATGTGATTATCTTAACTTCTGCCCCAGAATCCATTTGATCAGCTGTTGGCTTGTATTTCCTATTGTGCGTCGGAAAATGAACTGCCTGAATATTTATAATTTTGTGTATTTATTTTTAAGGGAGCTTGTAACAGCACATCCAGACAATTTGGGCACAATGTTAAAGCACACAATTTACAATGAGTTGTCCAGCTCTCGCAATCCAAACAACATGACGATGCTCAGTGTGATTTTTCAGTGCAATCCGCTGTCAGCAGCAGATCATTTAGCTACCATATTTTTAGTGAGTTCTTTGAATTTTCATTATATTTTTATGTGTAATATTTAGTGACCATTAAGTAATGTTTATTTAGAGATCATGATATGCGGTCTGGTGTGATGTAGGTTTAGAAAAATATTTTCTTTATCGTACCAACATTTTAATCTTTATTGAGATCTTCTTCAGGGCCAAGGATTTATAAAGTTGTTTATTATTCCAGCTAATTATTCTTTTTATCTAAAGTTTTTGATTGAGATGAAATTAATGTCATGAGCGGGATTCGTTCCCACGACCTTCAGCTCAATTATGCTGCTCTACTACTTAAGCCAACATGACTTCGATCCTCCCAGACACCACCTCTCCATCTCACCCTACAATTGTTCGAATTTTCCCTCGTTTTGCCATATTTTCAAATTTCTTGTAATCAGGATTCGATTCTCAGCGACTTTTGAAGTGGTCACAGGGAGCTGTTAATGAAGTAATTTCTTCTTTTTTAATTATTAAATTTATCGATATTTGCATTAGTGGTCATAATTGACCGTTTAGTTATTCCAATTAATTATTCTTTTTATCTAAGGTTTTTGGTTGAGATGAAAAATTAGTGTCACAAGCGGGATTCGTTCCCACGACCTTCAGCTCAATTATGCTGCTCTAACTATCTTTATAAGTTGCTGATAATCGAATCCTGATTACACGACATTTGAAAATATAGCAAAAAGAGGGAAAATTTGAACGGTTGTAGGTTTTTTACCAAAGTTAAAGATCCCGTACCTGTGACAAATAAGTCTGATGTGATTTACAAAATCAATTGTATAATAATTGTCCAGCAACTTACATCGGCATTATAAACCAATATCTGGATAAAAGGGTAAAACAAAATATTGCACAAAACCCAAACAAAATCCTTCATAACAGGCTACCAACCATTTTGAACATTCAACAATCCAAAAATACTAACCTCAGAAGAAAACAAAAATAAACTTTGACTTTAACTTTAGTAATGTGTAACTTTTTACAAATGAATTAAGGTTTTTAGTTGTGATAAAAAAAGTCAGTGGCACGAGCAGGATTCGAACCCACGATCTTCGGCTAGATACCCTGCTGCTCTACCACTTGAGCTATCGTGACCTCAATCTACTCGGACACTAACTTCCCATCTCAACCGCACCTTTTGAATTTTCCCTCCTTTTTGCCATTTTTCAAATGTCATAAAAACCTTAATTAATTGTAATATATTAATTGGTCAAGCGGACCACGAAAACAAGTGAATAAATAAATTTAAAATGAAGTATACCTTCACTAAAGCTCTCCGTGGCGATTTCATTTATCGCCGAGAATCAAATAGATTGCACGACATTTGAAAAATGGCAAAAAGGAGGGAAAATACAAAAGGTGGATTTGAGATGGGAAGTTAGTGTCCGAATGGATCGAGGTAACAATAGCTCAAGTGGTAGAGCAGCGGCGTATCTAGCCGAAGATCGTGGGTTCGAATCCCGCTTGTACCATTGACTTTTTTATCTCAATTAAAAACCTTAATTAATTGTAATATATTAATTGGTCAAGCAGACCACGAAATTAGTGAATTTTTAGAAATGGTTTACATCAACAGAGATAAACCCAGCATCAATTACAGAACAGACACATGTAAACTCAGCTGCAGCTATGCTGATATAAATCAAGTTCGCTATCAATAACGTACACATAAGACACAAAACATATAATATAACATATAAAACAATCATTACACTCCGCACATCAAACAATTCTACATAGTCTAAATCCCCAATAATTTATCTCTCCTTTCCCTAATAATATAACAATCCTGAAAGCCTAACCAGGCCTGAACAACAAACCATTACACCTTTTTTCCATTGTCGGTCCCTTTCACTTCAAAGAAACTGACTCCTCATAGAAAAATTAATTTCTATCCTTACCTCCTTCCCCACTCCTTAAAAATCAAACATATATAAACAAAAAACATTAATATCTTACTTACACTCTCAACATGACACAATAGTGATACATCTACACAGAAAACACTTTGAGGGAGTACGAATACAAGTTCAAAGAGAGGCAGAAAAAGCATCGCATGGATAATGCGAGAAATAAAACCAGGGCTACATAAAGATTCATAGCAGCGTCTCGCTTGTGTAGCTATTCATATACATATTTTTACCTCTAACCTTAAGTAAAAGTTCACTAATTTTGTGGTCTGCTTGACCAATTAATATATTACAATTAATTAAGGTTTTTAGTTGAGATGAAAAAGTCAATGGCACGAGCAGGATTCGAACCCACGATCTTCGGTCTGATACGCCGCTGCTCTACCACTTGAGCTATCGTGACCTCGATCCACTCGGACACCAACTTTCTATCTCAAAAGTATCCTATCTCTTAAGTAAAAGGTATCCATGATCTTGCCAATCGTATCTGGTTTTCATACCATGTTATAATTAGGGAGTATGCTGACATGAATTTTCTAAATCATGAGTTTCGCTCTGATATATAAAATTCTAAAAATAATTAAATCTAAAATTTTTATATTGTGTACTTCAATGTATAAATTCATAGTCATATCTTATATGTATTTATGTAATTTAAACAATGTTTATAATTCCCCGGCCCTGAAGATGACCTCAATAAAGCTTGAAACGGCATGATAAAGGAATGTTTTTTTAAACCTGTATCACACCAGTCCGCATCTCACAATCTCTAAATAATTATTATATTTTATTTATAATATTTTTATACATCTGCTTTGATTAAAGGAGCTTTTAATGCATCGAGATGATTTCTTAAGACCACTGAGAGGCCTACTTCGTGAGTTGGCAAGAGTCCTTAGGCATGAATTGAAACTGCAGGATTTCTGTAGGGGTCTCATGTCGCACACGGAGCCACTGTCACGAGAGATTGACAGCAGCAGGTCATTCATGTCAACGGTTGATATAATCTCCCTTTGCATTTTCCTTGCCGTTATGCCTCATGCGAGGACTGAAAAAAAAGATTTGACACAAGTAAGTCCATGAAATTTTACTTTTGGCTTAATTCGTAAAAATAAATTATTCCAGATCAAGGCTATTGTGTTGTTTTTAATGTATGACTGTTTCAAATAAACACTTGAACACTTTTAGATGGAAAAGATGCAGTTTACAATTTCTACCATTCAGTGTGACGCGATTTGGTGGCTGAATGAGACTGTCTTGAGCGTTTACAAGCCATCGCCTGCAGATTACACGCATGCACTTCAGAAGGTAATATCTACTTTAGATAGGTCACTTCTGATCATTTTTAAAATATAGACTAAAATGATCAGAAATGACAAGCCACATGTTCAGATACCCCCTCCCCTGGACCCCAAAAGGGAAATCTCCAACTAACCTTCAACATGGTTTTTTCCAATCATTTTGGTCTGGCTCCAAGCCGTATGATAGACCAAAATGATCAGAAATGACCAAGCCACATGTACAGTTACCCCCTCCCCCAGGGGGTTTCGGGTCCAGACCCGAAAAAGGGAAATCTCCAACTGACCTTCAACATGGTTTTTTCCAATCATTTTGGTCTGGCTCCAAGCTGTAATGATAGACCAAAATGATCGGATATGACAAGCTAAAAGACCAGCCCTTCAGACATCAAAAAGAAATCTCATAATTTAACAATTATCTTATTAGTGAAATTGATAAAATTTTCTTTTTTGGTTTAATAAACATAAACCACTTTATTCATTCATGTTTGGAGCAGAACAACTGGTGTCAAAAGTGCCAAGTTGCGTACATCCGTCTAACTGGCTGTCCCATTTTTTATTCAGCCAAACAATGTACAATATTCATGATATACTCAAACTTGTTTAGCCCTTTAGATGATTTTTCAAGTTTAAAATAGCCCCGGACCATGGGAAATTTTGGTCCTTTCTATAAATTATTTATAAATGGTTTTCAATCACTCCCTCCAAGAGGGGTCTGTCAATATGTTATTTATGTAAGGAAAATAATGGTTGAGCCTTTGGGTGCCTCCTGGTTGGCGGCGGCAGCGGGTCTCTCCCCGGTGCATGCCTTGGAGATCATCGCAGCCTAAGTTAGTCTCTGACCAATGGATTTTGTCTAGGGTCATTTAAAAAAAATAAAAAAGTTTAAAATAAAAATTTTTTATATATTTATTTTCAGGTCTTGTTGTTAGAGCCAGCAGAACAATACTACAAGACTGATAATTGGCCACCGGATCAAGACAGGTCATTGTTTATGAGAATGGCTTCAGAGGCACCAGTTTTTGAGAAGACCATTATCACAATATTAATGATCGGGTTGTCAAAAGAGCATCCCCTTTCACCTTCTGACGCTCTGGATCTAGCACTTGAAATCACAAAGCGTGCAGCTGCTGTCAATAACCCAATCACTCCGATACTTAAATGTATGTGTCTTTTATTGCTTTTCAACACAGATTTTATTTGCTTGATTGTTTTCAGGTGATCAAATTCAGATATTTGATCTTGTATTCAACCTATCGGCATACAGGCATCCCGATAACATAGACCTTCCCAGTGGCTATAAGCCTCCTTCATTGGCCATTTCGTCTCTCTACTGGAAAGGCTGCACCCTTTTGTTGATTCTTTCATCACACAATCCGGAAAAGTTCGGAGAACTGACTTGGAATAAATACCCGACACTGAGAATACTTATGGAGATGTGTATCACAAGCCACTTTGTCTTTCCTCCCGGTTACGAGGATCTCCAACTACTGACAGTGGAAAAGCAAGGGATACTTGAATTCGAAACTCATCTTGCCGCTGCATCCACAAAAGTGCGTATCAACAGCGTCAATATTGGAATTTTAATAAATTAATTGTGGTGTTTACAGATGGAAATCACGGAACAGTCATCTCTACTTTTGTCCCAGTTGGTGACGATGGACCCTCAAGGGCCACCGAGACGCCCTCCACAAGCGACAATCGAAACGATTAAAGCATTGAATACTCCGTTAAAACTAGGCCATTTATTATGTAGATCGCGACAGCCTGATTTTCTTCTTGATATAATTCACAGGCAAGGGTCATCACAAAGCATGCCTTGGCTTGCTGATCTCGTCCACAACTCAGATGGAGCTTTAAAGTTAGAAATTTTACAATTATTTTTATTTTAAAAAAATTATGATTATATTAATTTTTTTTTTATAGTCATCTTCCAGTGCAATGCCTATGTGAGTTCCTTCTTAGCTCTGGACATAAACAAGAAGGAAAATACCAGCAGCTTTTGAAACATCTTCAAAATATTCTAACAGACGCTAATCAAGATCCTGTCAACGCTTGTGAAGTTCTGGATTATTTCTTGAGAAGGCTCAGCTCTCCAAACAACCGAGCTTTAGCGATAGCTGTAAATATTTCTCATTATTGTATGAATAATCAGAAAAAAATGTTTTAACCATTGATAAATAGTCAGTTTTAGTCTTTGTCCTCCTCACCTACTCACAACTTTACTTTGTTTAATGTTTCAAATACTAGGACATTACAGAAAATAGATTTTATTTTTATTGTTGTTATAGGGTTTGAAACTGGTCATTTCACCTTTGCTTGATGAAGATGTGGATATGGATAGAGACAAATCATTAATACTGAAAGAAGATCCAAGTTGGCTGATGGACCAGTTGCCAAAGATTCCACATTTTGAAGCAGCAAGACCTCAAGTAATTTTTTTTAATGCAAACTTCTTTCTTAATAATTCTTTTGATTTGTAATTTTTACTGTTTTACCATAAATATACTTTTAGATTGTGGCTTCGTTGAGGTCTGCCTGCCAAGTGGAAAATGAGCCGAACCTTGTCACCGCTTATCTCTGTTTTCTGTCTCAACACGCCATCGGTGATTTGAACGAAATGGGAGAACTCGTTTTGGACATGGCTCAGCTCATAGTGGAACGCAGTACAATAATGGCCTCGATACTCCCGGCCGGCGAAAGGCCGAACCCAGCTCTAGACGCTTTCTTGCAGATATTCTACAACTACCTCACAAAAGCCAGGGAGCCTAAAAAGGACAAGTACACTTGGTCCGAGTCTCAGGATCAGGTCCTCGTTTCTTGGCCGTCAGGAGAGGAGTGCACTGTCTACATTTTGGTCGTGCATGCTATGGTCATACTGTTAACTTACGGGCCAGAAGCAGTCAGTGCAACTACTCAATACGTTCACCTTTTAAACACTTGGTTTCCCCAGGATATATCTAAATCACCTAAGGTACCTTTATTTAAAAAAAAATAATAATAAATTACATTTAATTAAAAAAAAAAATAAACAAATTTACTAGGGCTTCTTAGTGGATACTTCAGAGGAAGCCCTTCTCATCCCAGACTGGCTAAAATTGAGAATGATTAGATCACATGTTCCACGTCTTGTCAAAGCTGCGTTGACTGATCTTGATATGAATCAATTGATTTTGTTCATACAAAGTTTTGGAATACCGATTGCTTCGATGAGGCAAGTGTGACGGTGTCAATTTAAAATAATTAATTCAAAAACTTGTATATCTATTAACGGATTGTGAAATTTGTATAGCAAGTTGTTGGCCACGTTGGACAGTGCAGTGATTAGTGATCAGAGTTCTGTCGGTGATGCTGTGATCGACAAGACGTACATGATACAACTTGTAGAAGTTCAGCACAGGAGAGGTGCTAAAGGCGGTGAAACTTTTACCAGTGTGCTCGACCTACAAGACCCTCAGAAAGTTCAACCTATGGACATCGATCCACTCGTTTTCCCCAAAGGTAAGTTCTAGTAAATTTAATTAATTAAAAAAATATATTTTTTTGTTTTTGTTTTTAGAAACAGTCAAAAAGAAAGATAAATTCCAGCTTAGTTGCTTTTCGGCTGGACAAGGAAATTCTCTATTGGAAACTGTTTTTCTCCCAGCCAAATCTACTTATAATCTCGAGTACCAGTTCGCTAATTTACTAAGGGTATTTTAATTGAAACATTTAAAATTCATTTGTGTATATTGATTATGTTTTTTAGACATTGGTCCAGGAATTTATAACAAATGGGAAAACGTACGACAAACCCCTCGTGAATGAAGTTGTCAGTTTCTTCAAGGTAGTCATAGAGAAAAACAATAAATTCATTTTGGAATCTTTATCGTCAAAACTTCAATATTCTTGCCCGTTGTTCTATCTTCTTTCGAACATAGCGATAGATGAAGACATCGAATTTCTCAGGGTAAGTGATGATGTTCCATCATAATCGGGCTTTTTTTTAGTTTTATTGGCATACTTTTAATTACTTTCAGTCGAAATTGAGCCAAAAGGAAGAAGATGCAGGGATTAAGCTGTTGCTCGATTTATTAACAAAACGGTCGGATTCAAGCTTCTGGGGGGAATCAAAAATCAAGGATGCACTGAAAATGGATGAAGGTGAGCTTGTTCAATGACTATTTTAATAAAGGTATGTTTTTCATCTGGATGCACAAATTTGTTTTGCGTGGTCATTCAAGACAGTCTTCTCATTACCGATGGGTTGGGTTAGGTTAGAAACAGTTAAGTTAGGTAATCGGATGGATATGTGTCAATACCTCTGGTTTCTCCTGACATGTGTCAGCACATTTCTGCCTCCGCTTTGCCCACCTTTAGAAGTGGAGGAAATATGCGATGGCCAACCGCAAATTTTTGATTTAAATCTTGATATAAAAGTGTGTGGTGATTAGAGACAGTTAATCGATGATTATTCAGAGATCGTGAGATGTGGTCTGGTGTGATGTAGGTTTCAGAAAAACATTTTCTTTATCGTGCCAACGTTTCGATCTTTATTGAGATCACCTTCAGGGCCTAGGATTTACAAACATTGTTTACATTTAACAAATACATGTAGGATGTGGAAAAAAGTGTATTTATACAATACAAAAAAAAATTTTTTTATATTCAATCAAAGTATTTCTACTCACTCAAAGTGTTTGTCTTCTGTGTAATTGTGTCGTTCTTGCGTGTCGTGTCGAGAGTGCCAGTGAGATTTTGCTATTTTGTGTTTATATACGTTGGATTTTGAAGGGGTGGGGAAGGATGTCGGTATAGAAAAGACATTTTTGTATAGGGCTCTTGTCCGATAACTTCAAAATAGCTTTCAAAAATTATAAAACAATTCAAACACTTTTTTCCAAAATTAAAGATCCCACACCAATAACAAATAAATCTGACGTAATCTACAGATCAACTGTATAAACTGTCCGGCACAGCAAGCAGCAAAAAACCCAAGCAAAATCCTACAGCACTCGCTACCCACCATTTTGAACACCAACACAATTTCGTCTCCAAAAATCCAAAAATATTACATACAGAACAAAACAAATATAAACGTAATTTCTTAGAATTGGTTTATATCAACCGAGATAAACACAGCATCAATTACAGAACAGATACATACAAACTCAGTCGTAGCTACGCGAATATCATTAATCAAATTCAATACAGATAACATACCTATATCATCACATTACATTCCACACATCAAATATTTTTCACATAGGTTAATTGCCCAACAATTTAGCTTTCCTTTTCCTATTTATCCCTTTCCATATAATCCTGAAAGGATAATCTGGCCGAACCATTACCAACACATTTTTTCCCTTCGTCGGCTCCTTTCACCTCAAAGAAGACGACGCCTTATACAAGAATGTCTTTCTATACCAACATCCTTCCTCACCCCTTCAAAATCCAACGTATATAAACACAAAATAGCAAAATCTCACTGGCACTCTCGACACGACATGCAAGAATGACACAATTACACAGAAGACAAACACTTTGAGTGAGTAGAAATACTTTGATTGAATATATAAAAAAATATATTTTGCATTGTATAAATTCTCTTTTTTCCACATCCTACATGTTTTTGTTAAATTTAAATAATGTTTGTAAATCCCAGGCCCTGAAGATGATCTCAATAAAGATCGAAACGTTGACACGATAAAGAAAATGTTTCTCTGAAACCTACATCACACCATTTCACGATATCTAAATAAATATCGATTAACGGTCACTAATCACCACACAAAATACAGTTGAGACTTCAGAGGAAAATGGGCACTTTTTGCCAATAACAGACTAAACAAATAGCGTTGCCCTCCTAATTTCCACCAGAGTCAACTGTGTTAGAGCAGAGAAACAAAAATAAAGAAAAAGAGTTCAAATGTCTTCACATTTAATTCCTCCAAGAAAGAGAAACTTTCAAAATGTACCTATGTAATTCCCAAAAATAGATTACCAAAACATGTTTCAGTGACCATGGAACAGCATATGTGAGGAGGAACATCCATTAAAAAAAAAGAGCTAAAAGAAGAAAATCTATTTTTACATCTATCAATTATACTTTTTATCTAAGGTCTTGGTTCAGATGAAAAAGTTATTGTCACGAGTGGGATTCGAACCCATGACCTTCAGCTCAATACGCCGCTGCTCTAACCATTTGAGCTATCTTGACTTCGATACACTCGGACCAACTCCTGATCTCATCCTACAACCTTTCAAATTTTCCCTCTTTTCGCCATATTTTCAACTCGACCAAGAACTTAAATAAAAAGTATAATTAATTGAAATAACTAATAAAGTTAATTATGATTGCTAAACATATATGGATTAATATAATAATTAAAGAAGTAAATACTTCGCTAACAGCTCCTCATGGCCACTATATTAGTCGCTGAAGAGACTCGAACCCTGATTACACGATATTTTAAAATATGGCAATTTTTACATTTTACGTCTATTCTTTACGGGTGAATTACTTTAATGAGGACTGACAGCAATGTCCACAATGGAGGGGTTCCGAAATAGTAGTGTTGAAAATGTATAAAACCCTATTTTTTTGGCTGGGGAATGCAAAAAATGGTTGTTATAGAGAGGGGTGCCCATTAGGAGGGGTTTCAATGTAATTTTTTTTCAGTAGTTTGTTTTATATAATTTATTTTTGGTCTTAATATTTATTATATTTGATAGGCAAATTCAACCAAAACTAAATTTTCATAAAACATTTTGCGATATGTAACAATTTCTGGATGCGATCCCACCTCTTTAGCTGTTTTAAACTTAAATTGTGTCCAGTTTTATGGACAGTATAATAAATAATAAAAAATTTTTAAAATAAATGTATGAAAGCGTTGTTTTATGTAAACACAACAAAAAAGAAAATTGGAAAAAGCAGAACTTAATTCTGAAATCATATTTTATTGATCGTTTCCGATCATTTTGGTCTGCTTAACCTCGCAGTTCACCGGCGGTAAATCTGGGTTGAATTGAACCCCCATCTGGACGGATATAAATGGAGGCACCACATGCACATCCCTCAGATAAGACATAGGCCAAGTTAAACTTAAATAGGGGTAGCCTCAACATCTTTGTTCAATGTGGATTGCCTCATGGTTGTCAGGGTGTCCGCTCGGATCTCCTTGCAAACTGTCTCATGTCTATTGGCAGGATATCATAATGATGAAGCCACCAAAAAAAATTAATAACTTAATAAATAATAAATTAATTTAGATATCGAAATGGAAGCTGAACACGAAGAATGTTCGCTTACTGAAACCATGAACAAATTGCTTATCTGTCGAGACGAAGATTCCGGCCATCTTGTCGACAAACTGGTCAAGCTCGAGCCTGAAATTTTAGGTTCAAAGATGGAAGTACAGGTGATTAAAGCGCTATGCAATTTTACAAAATCTTGTAACTAAACCAGCCTTTCTTTCACCAGATGAAGCTTTTATTTTGCAAGAGAAAAGTCAGCACGCTACAATGCCGACCATACTTGCTAACATTGCTGACGCACCATGCTAGCTGGAACACCCTGAGCCACTGTGTTGAAATTCTCCTGAAAAGCGATTCCGTAGCACAGTGAGTAACTCTGAAGACAGATTTATTTGGGTAATAGCATTTAAATAAATTATTTTCAGATATGAACCAACTCCAGTACTTGATTTTCTCAAAGCGCTGACCTGTAGCCCAAAACTCTGGCAAGGAAGGGAGAAGCACACTCCTAAACATTACACTCCAGAAGACGTACTCAATTTGGACGTTAATCAAGTATATTGAATTATTTCATTTCGTAGAGGTTGGTAGGTCGACACAAAATACAAACTAATAATTTGTTTCAATTTCAGTTGAAAATTTTAACAGACTACATAATCAGCGAAGGCGTTAATGCTCAGAATGGTTATGTCTCGATAGCAAATAAAGATTTAACGTATCATCTTTCTCAAAGACTTACACTTCTGTACCAATGCATTGTGGCGACAGAAATAGACTTCGCTGTTGACATCGCAAATCACTTGATGAAAAAAAACTTGCCATACCCTAAGAAAACGTACTTATTTTGTACATTTATATCAAACATAATTTACCAATAAATATTTTTTGTATTTCAGTAAAGAAGCTGAAATGTCTAAACAACTCTTGGTTCAATTATATTTAAAAATTCCAAGCTTGATTACGCACCTCTCCGAGAGTGATATTAAAAAGTTTTTCTATAATTTCTCAGCATTGTCAGGTATATTGTTTTTGTCTTTGAGTTTTCGTCTTAAGGATACAATTCAAACTTATATTTAAATAGTCGGAGGATGTTGTACTATGGATGTTATGTCTCACAATTTGATATCAGCCCTGTCGGAGACTTCAATTTCAAAAGATTGGAACAAAAAGTCGCAAGAGTTGGAATTGTGCTTAAGAAAGATGGCATCGACTCATCCTCTTTTAGTTCTCAGGTAATTTAAAAAAAATAATTATCATGCCATAATATTAGTTATTTATTTGTATTTTTAGGCAATTGCCAATGATAGCTTCGGTTCTCCGAGGCCGAGTTGACCTCGACTGGAACGTCTTCAGCGCAAGAGGCCACTGGCGACTTTTCCAGCAGATCGCCAACATTTTAGACTTACTTCAACCGGTCATTTATCAGGACCATTACACGACATCGCTTCACAAAATTTTAAACAGCTATCTCGAATTATTTCAAGTAATTATAATTTTTGATGTTAACGAGAGCAGTTTTAATCGCTCTTTTGTATTTGTAGAATTATGCCAGAGAGGCGAATACTTTATCGCCTTTGGTAGCTCAATTCGTCTCGTTTTTGGAAGGTTACATTAAACACAATATTAAACAGGTTGAAGCTTTTATCCAAAACCAAGCTGAGCTCATACGGTAATTTAATTTGAAGATTTAACACAATTTAATTTATTTTCAATTTTTAATGTAATGTTTTCTTTGCTATCAGTGATTTACAAGAAGAATATTCTTATTTACGAACTTTGTGCGTCATAATATCGAGCAAGGAATATGGAAATGAAGTAATTATCACGCCAATTAACATAATAGAAAATCCAAATTCTCAGTGGGAAGCACGAGTCGCATTGACCAAAAAAGACGGTATAAAACTTTTAAAAAAATTTTCCTATCATATCCAATATAATGTTACATAATTACAGATTTGGCGTCTATACTTCAATTTTTGGACTTCAACTGCGGGAAAAAACCGATCGGTGCGTTTTTTTCCTTTTACTGTACACACATTAAACATTCGTGCTCTCAAGTGAGAACGACTTGCCACAACATGATCGCAAGACACTTGAGGACGAATCCGAAAGCAGCGTCCGAAGCGATCCCTTATTACTTAAACTGCCTAGAATCCGACAACCCCGAGATCGTGTTAAACGCTCTCGAAAAGCTCCCTGAAGTGATGGTCTGCGCCCAAGGCAAGTACAGTCAATAGAAATATTAGTATAATTCTCAAACTTACATATAAAATTTTCTCATTTTTTTAAATATATTTTTGTTCCTTAGAATTAGCACCGCCAGTATTGCAGAAAGTGTTTTGTTTGGGCATAACAAATAACATCAACACTGCTCCCTGTATATCAAGGACGATTGCACTTCTCAACCTTCAGTCAGCTTGTTGAGAAATGAGTCTATTAAAAATTTAGATTTAATTATTTATCCTATGGTAGATCTAGCTCATCATAAAAACAATTTTCTTTTATTATGATGTATTTTACATGTAATATAATTTTGTAAAAAAAAAATCATTTTCTTTATGTACAATAATTTAAAAAATTATAAATTTGTATATTTTGATCTTGTTTTAAGTTAGTTACAAACCTGCAAAGCCCTTTGTCTACAATTGTTATAAAACTAACATGGGGCCGTGGTAGCCGAGTGGTTAAGGCATCAGACTCTCGGCTAGTAGATCCCGCGGTCGTGGGTTCGATCCCCACCGTCGCCTCTGGACTTTCTGATGCCTAAGGGGACCGGTGGCCGCAATTGAAAGAAATTGACACTGCACTCATCAACGGAAGGAGCGGGATCAGATCTCAGCGACCCTGAATTTGGTCCCAACCCCCTTCAAAAAATGAGTTTCTTCGATGGAAGAACACCGGCACACCGGGGGCTCAAATTCGCTCTTGTGTTGTGAGCCCCCAAAAATGAACCAGGGATAAAGAACAATAAGCTGTACAGCTGCAGTGCTCAGAAGAGAACATCTCCAGTTCCTGGTATCCATTGTTTAAAAAAATAAATAAATTGTGACATTTTTTCGAGTGGTCTGGTAGTCCAAGGGATGATGAAACTAATTCGGCTGTAACCGCTGAGTAGCAAGGATAAACAGACCAAAATGATAGGCAATGACCACAAAAATGAAATAAATTATTTTAACATATGTGGTGATTAGTGACCGTTAATCGATATTTATTTAGAAATCGTGAGATGCGGTCTGGTGTGATGTAGGTTTCAGAAAAACTTTTTCTCTATCATGCCAACGTTTCGATCTTTATTGAGATCATCTTCAGGGCCTGGGATTTACAAACATTGTTTACATATTACAATTACAATTTGGATGTGGAAAAGTGAATTTATACAATGCAAAATATATTTTATATATTCAATCAAAGTATTTCTACTCACTCAAAGTGTTTGTTGGATTTTGAAGGGGTGGGGAAGGAAGTCGGTTTAGAAAAGACATTTTTGTATAAGGCATCGGCTCCTTTCACCTCAAAGAACCCCTTCAAAATCCAACGTATATAAACACAAAACAGCAAAATCTCACTGGCACTCTCGACACGACACGCAAGAATGACACAATTACACAGAAGACAAACACTTTGAGTAGAAATACTTTGATTGAATATATAAAATATATTTTGCATTCTATAAATTCACTTTTCCACATCCAAATTGTAATTGTAATATGTAAACAATGTTTGTAAATCCCAGGCCCTGAATATGATCTCAATAAAGATCGAAACGTTGGCACGATAAAGAAAATGTTTTTCTGAAACCTACATCACACCAGACCGCATCTCACGATTTCTAAATAAATATTTTAACATTATTGACCAATTTTTGAGGCGACTTGTTTGAAATGGCATTACTGTTCAGAAAAGAAACAAAAACATGAAGCATGAATCATGAAGTCTAGTTACAAAAATGTATGGTTTTCTAATAGTGTACTCCAAATAATATTTTAAAAAATTGTCTTTATTTCTTGATATTGTATTTTATCTACATTGGTTTTTTTTTCTAACTTTAGAAAAAGCATAAGGCTGTTATTTAACCTTCTGGCGATTTTTCAACACTTTGCCAATATCCAAAAGATCAGAAGCAGTGTTTCGGCAGCAAGCGCCAACATACGAAATCCCTTTTTCTAGCCAATGAGGTACATAATCCGCAACCTTTCCCTTGTTGCTGCCTTCAATCCACCTGAAATAAAAGGTCATTTAATTTTATTTTCTAAGAAGTTTTATTTTTATTTATTTTTTATTTTTTTTGTTGATTGGATACCAGAACTGGAGGAGTACTCCCTGAGCAATGCAGCTTTACAGTGTATTGTACTCCTTCCTGGTTCCATTTGGGGAACTTTAAACAACAAATGTTCTTCCTCAGTGTTCTTCCAAGGAAGAAACTCATTTTCAAAGAGGGTTGGGGCCAAATTCAAGGCTGCTGAAACCCAATTCTGCCCCCAATCTTCTATTGATATGTACTTTCAGCTAGAGCGGTCCCACTAAGATGTTTAAAGACATTTATTACCTTTTATTAACCTCATCGAAGGTTTCTCCACTGTTCGGGTATGCAATGAAAGGGATAGAACTGTCTTTTTCTTTAAGCGAAGTCAAAAGCGATAGAATAAATTCCGGTTTGCAGCAGTTTGCGCCAATGGCGACCAACTGCCCGTTTGACTTGTCCCAACATTTTTTCGCACTTTCTGCAAAATTTTCTCCATTGCTTATTTCCTTTTCATTCTAAAACCATCCAATATTTTTTTAATAAACATATAATTGAATTTAAAATGATAGTTTTTACTTTTATACTGAAAGAAAGCCAAGCTTTAGCTTGAGGAAATTCTTTAAGTAAGTCGAGGATGGCAAGAGCTTCTTTTGAGCAAGGTACAGTCTCAATTGCGAGCAAATCGACTCCAGCTTTGAGCAGATTTGACACCCTCCATCTATGCCATTCTTTAAATTCTTCAGAAGTCACTGAATCACAATAACTGCCCGTGTATTCCGATCCGTCGTGAAGGCTTGCGCCGTATGGACCGACTGAGCCGGCTATTTTCACTTTTACCCCTGAAAACATTTATGAACATGAGCGCTGAAATAACGCCTTGAACGCGCTTAGTTACCATCAGGGTGCTTTACTTCTTCGACAGCCTGCCTGCAAAGATTAACAGCTACGTACACCAAATCTGTAACTTCCTTTTCAGACATTTCCATGTGCTTTATAAAACCTTGCAAACTTAATTGATACGTGTTGCTCCTAATGATAGTCGAGCCGGCTAAAAAATTTAATTTTTAATTAGAAATTTAAGTAATTGTTTATAAAGTATACTTACACCTAATGAAATCTTTATGAACGGACAGGCAGGCATTTTTGTCATGCACCAAAAATCGAGCGACCCATAAAGGATGGTCATCAAGATTTCCTGATATATAATTTCTCAGTTGGGTTGCAAAACCGCTGTCGATTAATACTGCTCCTTTTGAGCTCATTTTGTTTTTAATCAAGAGCCAATAAACCTCATAGCTAAAAATATAGAAAAATACAATTTTAAGCAACAAGTACAAAACATATGTAACAATTATAAATAATATTTAGCTATTGATTTATTTTTATTTGCAACATGCCAGTATGTCAAATATTTGTCAATTATTAATAAAAAGTTAAAAATTTTTATGTAAAACAGTACAATACAGTCAACTAAATGTTATAGACATTAATTGATTGTCCAAGTGTGTCAATGGAATATCAAGCGGGAACAGTGGCACTTACTTTATTATAAACATGAACATTTAAATATGGATAAAATGAAAATATATACAGTAATAAGGTGAAATATTTCAAAATGAAGTCAGTTGTTCAAATAGCTGAAATGTAGAAGGCAAGTGAATTTAGGTCTTAAAAGAGTCTCATTTGACATTTTCTTAAGAAATGGAATATTCCATACGGTTGTTGTAATCATAATTTATGATTATATAAGCTTGAGTATATTAAATACAGATAAATGAAAATATATATGTAAATATTTCAAAATAAGCAACAAGAAGTAGCTTGTTGAAGGAGCTGAAATAAAGAAGACAAGCGAATTTAGTCCTTAACAGAGTCAGGTTTGTCATTTTCTTAAATGTAGCTCCAATACAGGATTTGCTGAATGCCGAATATTTGCTAAATGTTGATATGCTCGACTTGGCATTCGCCAAATAGTGCATACACGTGCAGGATTGTGCAACTGCCCAGTTCATGTGTGAACCTGAAAAGTTGTGCACTGATGAAAAGTGAGGTGAGCACTGACTACTGTTGCTCGATGAGTAACCGAGCACTCATCTAGCCAGGATTCAGTGAAACTTTGCTTGGCGTTCGACGAATCCTGCATGCTTGGGACCGTAAGAAATTAGATGTCCAAAAAGGCTGCTGTAATCGTTATAATGATTATATTTTAGTGTATGCATTAATATATTTTTTATGCATCAAATGAAAATATATTGTTTATACAATAAAAAGGTAAAATATTTTAAAGTGGTTAAAATAGCTAAATTGAAGAAGACAAGCAAATTGAGCCCTTAACAGATTCCAGTTTGCCATTTTCTTAAGAAATGGTGCATCCAAAAAGGTCGTAATCATCATTTATGATTATACCTTAGCATAAATATACAATATTATTACATATAGATATATAATTAAAATAACTATACAATAATATGGTTAAATATTTTAAAATTGTGCTTAGTACTTGTTAGTGCTTGTTGAAGTAGTTGAAATGAACGGATTGGGGCCTTAACAGATTCTGGTTTGTCGTTTTCTCAAGAAATGGAATGTCCAAAAAGGTCATAATCATGATTTATGATTATACTTTACCAATTAATTAAGGTTTTAAGTTGAGATAAAAAAGTCAGTATCATGAGTGGGATTCGAACCCACGACCTTCAACTTGATACACCGCTACTCTACTACTTGAGCTATCATGACTTCATGGAGTCACGATAGCTCAAGTGGTAGAGTAGCGGCGTATCAAGCCGAACGTCGTGGGTTCGAATCCCGCTCATGACACTGACTTTTTTATCTCCACTTAAAACCTTAATTAATTGTATGATATTAATTGGTCAAGCGGACCATGAAAAATTGTGAACTTAATGGAATTATACTTTACCATGAATATATTAAATATGAATATAATAAAAATATATATACAACAATATTGTTCAATATTTCAAAATCGCACTGTGTAGCTTGTTGAAGTAGGCAAAATGAGGGAATTGAGGCCTTAATAGATTTTGGTTTGCCTTTTTCTTAAGAAATGGAATGCCCAAAACGGTCGTAATCATGATTTTCGATTATACTTTACCATGAATATATAATGACAATATATATGCAATATTGTTAAATATTTTAAAATTGTAAGTGATTGTTGAAGTAGCTGAAATGAAGAAGAAAAGCGAATTTACACTTTAACAGATTCTGATTTGCAATTTTCTTAAGAAATGAAATGTCAAAAAAAGTCATAATCATGATTTATGATTATACTTTACCATGAATATATTAAATATACATATAATGACAATATATATGCAATATTGTTAAATATTTTAAAATTGGCTGTGCAATTGAAATGAGCTATTTGATTCCTTAACAGACTTCTAACAGGCCTTCTTTAATTAATATTTTTTTGGTGAAAAACAAATGGTCAAGTTATAATTAAATAAAAGTATATTTATTTATTACCTGTTCTAACAGAAAAAATTAATTATTGTAGTGCATCAGTAGGCAAATGCAGTTAAATTAACATACCTGAACGGGAACGGTTCCAAGTCATACGATTGCTATCACAAATCTGTCACATTTCAAGGAGAAATAGAAAACAATACGGTCGGAAAACGCGAAGATTCAGTTTTTAAATTACATTTTTCTGTGCTGCTATCTGTTATTTATTTGTATTCGGCTTACGTTCCAACTCAACAGAAATCGCTGCATCCTCATTTCCAACATGTTTCCTTTGAAATTTTCCCCTTTCTTTAGGTAATTTTTTCCTTCTGCTGTGTTATTGAAATTGTCACTATAGTGTTTGGAAACATTGCTATTTTTCGGGCCAATACAAACAGAAGCTAAGTAACAACTCTCATGGAATTCTCCTTAGTCTTGTTTTTGTTTCCTACCGGCTTTTATCCTTGCTCAGTTGTTGTAATCACCCGTGACCCGTGAGATTTTTATGATAATGTCCAAAGCCTATCTTCCTTGATAAACATGTGCAATAGGTTGAAAAAAATGTCCCTGAATTATGATCGAAATCATGAATGGACTTTGGCCGGATGAATTGTGACGCCGAATCACGTCCATCCTCCGTTCGATGTCCCTCTTATTATAGTTTGCAAGAAATTCCCTACTATATTTGTTTTTAATTATACTAAAACTTAAAACAAAAACCTTCTTTAAAACTACTTCTGATGCTAAATCCAAAAAATAAAAACCTCGTAAACACTATTTTTTAAAATTATGTAGGCTCCATGACCATCTAGACTTATTTGACGCCCTTACGATAAACAATTAATAACATTAATTAAACAAGAATGACAAATTTATAAGAATACACAATAAAAAAACATTACAATAAGACAAAATGTCGCATAAAGCGTCAGCACTTACAAATGAAATTTCTGATGTCCCCTTGAAACCCCTGAGGAGTATGAACTGCTGTGCGCAGGAACTGTTCTGAGGGGTGGGCTACTCCCCCAACCCGCAAATGAGAAAGTGAAGGGTATTCGGTCAAAATTTCCACGCACATTTGTTATATTGAAATTAGTTGGACTCGTGAGGAGCTGTCAAGAATGAGGTAGTTTAGAAAAACACCTCGTTAATATTCGGGTCATCTTCAGGGCATAAAGTGCGGTGATATTCTTGTGGTGTCATATTGGTTTTGTGTGAAAGTGTTGTGAAACGAAACCGATATGACACCACAAGAATATCACGACTCTTTATGCCCTGAAGATGACCCGAATAAAGGTCGAAACGCTGCAAAAAAATTAAAAAGGTGTTTTTTTAAACTACCTCATTCTTGACCGCTCCTCACGACTTCAACAAATTATGAAACAACAGGTCACTAAGAAACACACGTTATATTGAAATATCATTTATTTAAATTTATTAAATAATATTAACAGGTCATCGACTTTTCCTCCTATAGGTTCTCCACTCATGACTGCTGTTGTCACTACACAAATTAATCAACAGAATAATAAACTGCCATGGTTAAAGCGCAAATCGGGATTACGCTAAAGCATCCATATGATTGCTGGTGCTATCAAAGAGACCTATAAAAAACCTCAACCGAATGATGTGTCAGCAATTGGCTCAAAATCTACCCAGTTTAAAAGGAAAAACGCCGCAGGGCCCGGTGTGAACACGAACCTTCATTAACTCTCGTGCTGATAAACATGTGCAATCGGTTTTATAAAATGCCTTTTTTTCAGATTATCCTGAACCATGATTAAACCTTTCCCGGATAAATTGTGACGGTAGATTAAGAACAAAACGCCTCAGGGATAGAGTGAAAAGGGACTTTCGTTCGTTTATTTTATTTTAATTTTTTTTAACTGTATTCGTTCTTGACTTCTTTTTAACTATCGTATCATGTAGTGCTATTTTCCTAATTAATTATTTCTAATATCTAGATTCATGATATTGTACCCAAATGGTACAAAAAGTCAAACTGATTGTTGCTAAAATAACTAGAAGAGATCGACCTTTCGCAAATGGTCCTGTTTTATAAATTTTAGTTCAGTCGTTTCGCATTGGCAGAAATCTAAGCAATGTTTTATATCAACTCTGTATATGTCTTAATAACAAAAAACAAAAACAAACGTCCTGGAATACTAAGGAATATATATATTTACCATACCAATATTGAAATCAAATTGTGAGTTTGCAAACTGATAAACCATCAAAAGCCAGAACGGCTCAAATTATGCATTTTTGCTGTTTGTTTACATCAAAGCTGGTGTCAACAGGTTGCTGAAACGCATTTGAGTGGGTGTGAAATCCTGGATCACGCACAAGTAGCAATATTTCGTTTCACTGTACTACTTCCACGGAATATTGGTCTTTTTTTAAAAAAGTTTCAGGTTAAAATTAAGCTTGATGGAGCACTTGGACATTTCAGGTGTGCCGTTCTCGGTTTAAAATCCGGAATCATCATGGTTCATCGCCTCCCTTGATGGCCTTTATCATCAAAGTTCAGACTAGTTCAACAAACTGCTAACATTATTTGTGCCTTGTCTTTAAAAAAACCAACAGGCCTTAAATTTTGGTTTATAGTTTGGAAGAAATTGGTCTGCTTACATAACCGATATCATCTAACTTTTATCGATAATTTAAATATTTAAATTAATAAGAATGGTCGGTCAATTCAAAGTTTATATCATCAAAACCAAACTGTTACTGTTTTAACTTCCTTTATGCGTGAAAACTAATCGTCTGTATACCGAAATTTCTCGCCATTAATCGTAAATGTAAAAAATTAACGAAATAATAGATTAAGTTTTATATTAGAATTATATTGAAATACATTGGCAAATCTATTAAAATTTATTTGAAAAACGTGAGATGCGTTCTGGTGTGATGTAGATTTCAAAAAAACATTTTCTTTATCGTGCCAACGTTTCGATCTTTATTGAGATCATCTTCAGGGCTCAAAGTCTTTGTCTTCTGTGTAATTCTGCCATTCTTGCGTGTCCTGTCGAGAGCGCTATTAAAATTTGTGGCTTGGTCTTTTCCCTTTAGTTTGGTCTACCAAAAGTCTTTTCAATGTTTACTTTTGATAAAATTTAAAATGTTTATTCAGTTTCATTTGAATTCTAAAGCAATAAACTGTTTAGTTTTCATCTTTGTTTTCTTAATTTCAGTTTTTAAACTTAAAAATGTCATTTAATGCTGAGGATATTGCGCGCGATGTGGCACTTATTGATGATAGAAAAGGCTTGCTTGGTCTTGCTGTTTAGGTTTGTCATACTCGTTTCGGCATATCGCCATCCTCAGGGGTTGGTCAGGGTTCTAAGCAGGGATTGGCGAGACAGCAAAATCCGCCGCAGGATGGTCGGAAACGGCCTTACTGGAGCTTCAAAACCCCGCAGACTTCAAGAGATTCATTTGGTTAATTTCTGTATCTCGACTCTTCACAATTATTGGAACAAATAAAGCTGCTTGACTGATCAAATAACACAAATGAACCTCTGAAGATGGCGAAATTCCACTAACAGCCTGAGAGTCCGAAACGCGAGAGTATGTGGACCAAGAAGAACCGAAACGACCACATTTTATACAATATGAAAAATTGCTAATCCAATAAGAGATTATTTTAGTTTATAATAATAACTTAATTTTGGGTGTTATTGGAGGGAATCAATGATTATAGCGGTGGGACGATAATATCTCATTTCCTAGGAGAAACAGCCAAAATTAAAGTTTGGCCCACCCTATTTTCCCTTCATCTTTTCTCAGACAAAAACAAATTTTCTGTAATTTGACCTTATGGTAATTTGACAAAATAATAGGCTGAGCTTTTTATCAAATAGTTGAAATATCCAGTATTTGTACAAAACTTTAGAACCCCGTTTGTTTTCATATCATTTTGAGCAGATGTTATCTTGCTTTGTTGTACGCGTTTCGGTATAACGTCGTATTCATTAGTTCATCAGGGTTATAAGCAGGGTGAGGCACCCCAGCCAAATCTACCGCTAAAGACCGCTAAAAGCCGAAACTTGTACATCACTCCGCAGGCCTCATCTTACGATATAAAAACGGCCTACACAATCTTCACATTTATTAGTACGAATAAAAGGCTTTAACTTAAAAAATAACCCACAGATCAATCACAGAAGATAGGGAAATTCTGAAAATGCGCCTGACAGACCAAAACGACGGAAGGTCGACCTGGATCAAAAGAAATAACCAAATTAAAATAAATAAATAAATAGTTTCTTTTACTTTTAACTATTTTAACTAACATTTTCCCGGTAATGATCTTTCATCTTTTATTGGTCAAAACTAATTTTCTTATGTGTGACTTTAACTCAGTAATAAACTGAAGAGGGCGTCGGTGGCCGCAACGGTTTAGGCGTTGACACGGCGCTCATCACTGTAAGGTAAAGGTCCCGGGTTCGAATCCAGTGGCCCTGAATTCGAACCCGACATATTTACAAATTTTTTTTTTTTTTTCAAAAACACCGGCACTCTGAGGATTTATATGACTCGTTATATAAAAAAAGAAAAAAAATTGTACAAAACTTTGCAACTTAACTTTTTTCTCGATCATTTTGGTCGGGCTATCCTAACAGTTTTTGGTCTGTTTTGGCATTTCGCCTTCATTCTATCCAGAATCTTCCTTTTCAGGCTTTTAAGCAGGGTGAGGCAACACAGCTAAACCCAGCGCGAAAATAATCGTATAAAAGACGCTTGTCTGGCAAAATAAAATGAAACTATGCATCAAATTTATTAAATTTATAAAAGTTGCGGAGGTTACTACAGACTAAAACTGCGAAGCCTGGCGACCAGGATCAAGAGAATGTGCCAAATCAAAAAAATATATTTTTAATTGTACTTGTTTTCTTATAATCTTGTATGGCCTTTCCTCGCTGCTTTTGGTCTGTCAGACACGTTTTGGCTTTTCGCCATCTTAGCTAACGGCAAGTTGCATCTCACCTCACTCCGCGTTCATACCCGACTGACGAATCACCCTACAGACCTCAAGATGAAATTTCACTATATTAAAACTGTTTACATCTTGTATTTTGAATCACTACAATTCACATGCACTGGCAGGACATAAATTACAACCAATTGATTTTGTATCATTTTCTCGGTAAAAGAAAATGCTGCCTCATTATTTTTACCAATAAATATTTGTTTATGCTGTTTTAAATTGGGAATATCAATTAGAGGTAAACACACTGATTCCAAAACAAGGATAAAGGACTTTTCAATGTTTATTTTGATAAAATTTAAAATGTTTATTCAGTCTCGTTTGAATTCTGAAGCAATAAAATGTTTAGTTTTCATCTTTGTTTTCTTAATTTCAATTTTTAAACTTAAAAATGCCACTTAGTGCTGAGAATGTTGTGCGTGGTGCGGTAGTTATTGATAGATGTTCCATCAGGTATGGATCTATCAATATCTACCTGCCGATCGATATCTATTGCCATCGGAGTTCCCTACGAAACACTGCGAGACGCCGTTAGACGTTTCTGAGAAACTATATATAAACTAACCCCAGGGTAACAGAACCATAGGATGACCGTTTTTTGACTTTGACAATTTTGCGAAACCGGCACCTTAATGTTGTTCAAGCGATTCATCAGCTCCAGGAAATTCGAGGAGTCCAAATTTCTGAACGCACTGATCGAAGAAGATTAAATCAATATGGAGTGATGGCTTTTCACCCCGAAAGAGGACCAGAATTGACCAGAGCACACGGTGTTGCACGGCTCGCATTTGCTCGAGAGCACAGCCATTGGTCTTTGGACGATTGGTCTGCTGTACTTCGTACAGATGAGTGTAGATTTGCTCTACGGGGGTGAAAGAGTGTGGGGAAGGCGAAATAAAAGGTACGAACCTTGTAATTTTTTCCAGAGCCAACCTTTTCGACGTGGCTCAGTGATGGTGTGGGCGGGAATTTCAACGATGAGTCGCCCAGAGTTGGTTATTGCTCTTGGAGGGTCTTTGAAAGCCGCTCGCTATGTCGATGAAATTTTGGGTAATCATGCGTTGCCTATCCTCGATGAAATCAGCGACAATCCTAGTCTAATGCTCGATAATACCCGT